TACAGTACTTGATGTGCTATAAAATTAGATAATAGGGTTATTTCAACAAATTGCAAATTTTCAAACATTATATCAAAATAATAATATTATTATTTATTTTATTTTTTTTAAATAATATTGATTGCCTTTAACAGCAAATGCATACAAACAAAAAAAACTATGCATAAATTTATTATTTAAAAATAAAAACTTTTTTTATTATTATTATTTATTATTTGCGCTCAAAACATTTTGCAAAAAATAATAATAATGATAATAAATGTATTCATTTAGTAAAAATAATAATAATAAATACTTGATTAATAAAATGCAACTCTATTTAAATATTGAATATATTGAATGCCTGCTATAGAAAGATAAGATATATTAATAAATATAAAAATTTTTGTTTTTTTGTTGTTGTTTTATATTATAAAATATATCAAAAAACAATCAATGTTTTGATTGATAGCCAATTGTAATAAACAATAATATACTATATATCATACAGTATGATATCATTTAAAAAAATATTATTATTATTATATTTATATACATACTATACTCTAACTATACTATACATAAATAAATCACTTTTAATTTGTTATAGCTCGATTAATTAGAATATATATATACATATCAGTAATTATATTTATTATTATATAAAAAACTTAAAACAAAAATTGTAATTTTTATTTTTTAATTATCTAATAATTTTTTTGTTGATATTTTGCAAAACAGAGATGAGATGAGACTTTGCATATTATATTATTAACTATATATATATATATATATATATAGTTTGATAGCTAACTAACTAACAGATCAGTAACAATATATAAAAGTGACTGACAGTCAAAAAAAATACAAAATAAAAAACAAAAACAAAAAATAAAAACAATATATAATAATTGCAAATAAAAAACAATACATTGTATGCTTCAGGAAATTTTTGTGTATAGATTTTTTGCTGGTAATAATAATAATAACAATATTGTAAAAAAAAACTAAATAAAAATGTGAACAAGATTTCTCTTTTAAATTATTATTAAAAATGTTTTTTGTTTTCTAGACCCTATCATACATACATTCATTTAATTTATTATTATTTTTATCATTATTACTATTATAACCATTATATAACTTATACACTGGGTTTTTTGCTCATCATTTTGTTTTATTTATTTATTTGTTAATATTATACAATATATATGTATGTTATGTTTGACGCTTCAAATGATTTTTGAATACTTGATTATATGATTTTTTTTGGTCTCTCTCTCTCTCTTTCACAATCATTCAATAAATAAATAATAAAAAATTGCAACAATTTATTGTCATAAAAAAGTTTATAAACTTTTTTTTTGAATTTACAGTATAGGATAGATATAACTGATTTATATTATATATATATATAGACTGGTTATACAATATATACTGTATATATATGAATAACTTGAATATCAATAATTTTTGTTTAGAGATTTTATATATCGATTTATATATAAATAAATATAATATGAAAATTATTTAAGTTATATGTCTTTACAGTTTAAAAAAAGCAAACTATGATATAATAAATCTAATCATTTGTGACAAATTGATAGTCAAATTGATCGCACGATTATTTCAGTTATGATTTACAATTCAATGTAATTTTATATACATTTATATATCATATATATAGTAAATATAGTTTATTTATTATTTTTGTATAAATCATAATTTTATTTATAATGTATAAATTGTCAAAACATTTTGCTTTAAACTCACAAAAAAAACTAGCGATTGATCATAATTTTTGTATAAAAAAAACAATTTTTTGTTATATATTTTATATACCGTATAGTATTTATAGTATATATATATTAATATTTGCGACAAATTGAGAGATAACATCCCATTGATATTATTATAGAGTCCTTATCGATAAAATAAAATCTATTGAATAAATTATTATTTTATTTTATTTAAACTTATTTTATTGGATATTCAATATATATAAAAATCAATTTTATCATTGAATTAATAAAAATTAAAACAAAATATTTTTAGGGATTTTTTTTCAATACACTTAATTAATAAATAATTTTTATTACACAAACAAATATGTTATTTAGTTTTTATTAATAATATATTTTGATGACATAAGTAATTCAAAAGTTCATTAATCATAATTTTTTCAGTAAAACATTTGACGATCAAAGTAATTAAAATTAAAGCAAATTTTTATTAGTAATATTTATTTTTGTAAATTTTAATGTTTAAATGGGGAATATTTTTGCAATTTAAATAACATTATATACATATTTATAAACATATGATAATTACTATTAAAAATTAGTATTACTACTAAGATAGTACTAAATTGTTTATGTATATTTATTTGAAAATTAATTATTTATTTATTTTAAAAATTTGTACTATGCATATTATATGTTATTAGTATTTTTTTTAGTTTAGTTTACAGTACAGTATAATATTGAGATAATTTTTTTTATAGACATTGTCAACTCAACAATAATAATAATAATAATTTTATTATTATTTATTATTACTGTTATTATGATTATAAAAGTTACACACAATCATGATTCACATGAAATGAAATATACTGTACACTAACAGTAGCACTGGTAGGGTATAAATATGATGAGAGAGAGAGAGAGAGAGAGAGAGAGAGAGAGAGAGAGAGAGAGAGAGAGAGAGAGAGAGATGGTTAGTGTGGTTAAGTGGTTAGTGATAAAAATAAGTAGCATTTATAGTAACTTACATTATTATATAACATATATAGTATTGTATATATAAAACTAAATTTAAATTGGGATAAAAAGGATATACATTAAGTTTGTAGATTGAAGTCAGTGATAACAATATAGGAAGTAATGGTAGACTTGATATGAGATATATATATATACAGTACATACATGTCATGTACAGTAGTACAGTATATATTATATATAGTAGTAATCCTAATGTTAAGTAATGTAACGATTGATAAAATATAAACTTTATAAGTATTTATATATATTATTTATATATATATATAGAAAAGTGAAGCTCACGAATGGCCGCAAACCGATCGAAAAAATATTAACTATTAGTTTATAAATATAGAGATATTTTATCAATATTATCGTATATTAAATAATATATATATAATTTCAATCAATAAATAAACTTATTGATAGTTAGATATCTATATATATTAATATAATTTTGATGGCATAGAAAATTTTTATATACACTATTATATATATATACTGTACTATTATATACACTGTCTGTATATTAATCTAAATTAAAATGGATAATATATAAATTGTTATAATATATTGTATAAATTTTTATATTTAAACGCATTGATTATCATTTTAAAATAACCGTTTAAAAAATGATTGGTTTTTTTCAAGGATTATCTATTAGTTTGTTTTGTTTGTTTATATTTTTATATATCACCTCTAATTATATGCCATTTATTTTTAGCAAACCTGTGTGTGTGTGTGTGTGTGTGTGTGTGTGTGTGTGTTGACCATACAGTTAAATATATAGATTGATAGATAGTTGGATAGACAGGTAGTTCCCCTGTAAGACCATAGAAAACAAACTAAAAAAGTTGATCTAAAATTTTGTTAGCGACAATAAAACCCATTAAAAAACCCTCAGTTTTCTCATAAGAAAATAAGTTTTTTATCATATTTTTTGTTTAGTTATTATTATTATTATTTGCAGTCAAAATAATAAGCATTTTTTACACATTAGTTGACAGACACAACACAACATAACAAACAATAGGAAAAAAAAGTTTTTTTTTATTATTATTGTTGTTGTAAAAGACATTCACTTTTTTTTTTAATTAATCAAAAGTCATAACCCATAATATGAAATATAATAATATTGTATTTCGCAATAAATATAGTTATTTTTTCTACAATTGTTTAAATGATGTAATATAATAATAATAATAATTTTTAACCATTGAAACTAATAAAATCAATTCACTTTTCAATTTAATTTAATTTATAATTAATAGTGTTGTAACTATCATATTATTATTTTTTTAAGTTAAGTTTCGTGAATTCACAAAAATAATCATAATATATAGTACTGTAGAATAAAGTGCATATATATATATATATATTTATATATAATATTGCTATTAGTGGGGGTCACCCATCGGGCAACCGTATAGTTAGTTAATAGTTAATGGCTGTAATTTTCGTAAAATATTTGTATCACTCAACTTTTTTTAAAAGTAACTATGAACCTGGTACATGTATATAATGCATACTTTTTAAAAAACCTCTAGCCCCCCCTTTGTAAATGTCATCCCTGTTTTCAATAATGTTGATAACATGCCATCCCTGATGATAAATTATATTTCTATTATATATATATATATAAGTGTATAACTATCAAAAATAGATTTTCGGTGCCACACAATCATTAATTATGATGTGTGGCCATTAATTTTTGTTGTTGTTGTTATTTTATTTTATATATATATACATACAATACATAAACATACACACAGAAAAAAATTGGGTGTAATATTTGTAATTTAAAATTTTTTGTTAAAAAAAATAAAGGGATATTATATTACCAAATAAAATGTGTTTTTTATGGCTACCAATGAGACATGATTTTCTATTAGAAATATTTTTATGGGATGATGGGGTCATTAAAATTATTTTATTTACCGTATATTACCGGTAGTATTACAGGTATATTTAGTTTTAAAACAAACAAAATACAATAAAAAAATATTTATATTGATACTCCCAATCATAAAAATTGATCATTTAATTTAGCCAATACTACTTTAGGCAGGCAATGGTAATTATAATTTAGTTATCTATATATATATGATATACGGTATATAATTTAAAATATTATTATTACTATATTTATCATAAAATTATTATTATTATCATTAATATTGACATTATTATTATTACTATTAATTTTCTGAGAAATTTTATCATGCTTATTTTTTATTTTATTTTATTTATTTATTATAGAATGGTGATACAGCATTACATATATCGGCTGCTATGGGTCGCAAAAAGTTGACCAGGATACTATTGGAAACCGGATCCAATCCGACCATTCAAAATAAGGTAAATAAATAAATACAATATTATATTTTATAAAAATAGCATTGTTATGTTTTATTTATAAAAAAAAATATTTAGTTATTTATTATATTTTCATATACTGTATAAATATATATAGTTAAGTTATTTTTCAATTACTTGTTGCATATTATTATTATTATTATATGTTTTTTTTGTTGCTTGTTTAAAAAACTTACATTTTCTAGTTGTAACTGCAATTGTGTTGCTAATGTTGTAAATGTTTTAAAAATACAACAATTGCTATTCAAATCTCTCTCTCTCTCTCTCTCTCTCTCTCTCTCTCTCTCTCTCTCTCTCTCTCTCTCTCTCTTTCTACACTAACTATTCAAATAATAATGTATTTATAAATATAAGTTATTTCTCTCTCTCTCTTTCTCTTAATATGAATGTGTGTATGTTTTTTAATTTATGTCTCGCTATTTATCACTCGGCAATTACTAGCACTCATACCATTTGATTGCCAGCACCGATAGGTTAAGCACCCCTTACCTCTCTCTCTCTCTCTCTCTCTCTCTCTCTCTCTCTCTCTCATTCACTCACTCACTTGTATATAAAAAATGTATAAGTGCTGTTCACATGGTATGTATATGTGCGCGCCCGTCAAGGGGGTAATTGTTTTTTAGTTTGTCAATAATAATAATAATGATTATGTAATAATAATAATAATAATAATTTTTATTTTGGATGCATAAGTGGTTATATCGTGAAGTGTTTATATATATATACTATGCATATATACATACAGACAATCATTATATACAGAGAGAGAGAGAGATGTTTTTTAAAATTAAAAAAATATATTCATTTTCAAAAAACTTAAAATTGAATCCTTTATTTAAAAATAATTTCTTTTATCTTCAAAAAAAACAACAACATTACATATATTATAATATATTAAATGAAATGCTAAAATGTAATTAACAACAATAAAATGGTCATAAATTTGTTGGTGGAAATAATTTTTAATTTTTATTTAATTTTTTAGTTGTTTTTTAGTTTCTCAGTATAATTGTGTTTGTTATGTATGTATGTACTGTATGTGAAAAAATGCAAACCAATTGATTAATTCAGTAATAATTTTATATAATTTACTGTATATGCAGTATATACTGTATGTCTGCATATAATACTGTATAAATTGCATAAGTAATGTGTAATACATGATTTGAAATAGCTATTAAAAAAATAGTTTTTTTTATTTAATTAATTTTGTAATTTTATATAATAATAATTTTATATGATTATTATCTTTGTTTTTTTTTTTGGAAAAAATTATAAATCTCGCTAGCTGAATATATTTCATAATCGTGAAATTATAATTATAAATATATTTTTATTATAATATTTATTTTGATTTTTTTTGTGACTCTATTTGTTGTAAATTATTTTACATTATAAATGTTTCACACAATTATTGAATACTATAATTTATTAAACATTATTATTATTAAATATAGACTGTATCATTAAATAAATAAATACAGTTATAAACAGTATGTAATAGTTTTTTTATAACTCACTGATATCATGATTAACATTAATATTAATACCAGTATAATAAGTTAGATACAATTTTTTTTTTGAAAAATATAATATACAGTATATATATATTATAAGATATATAGATATTTATGATTTCATTTTTTCTCATTGATATTAAAGAGATAATTAAAATGAAATTATGTAATAATTATATAATTAATAGCCAAACATAAGAGAGAGAGAGAGAGAGAGAGAGAGAGAGAGAGAGAGAGAGAGAGAGAGAGAGAGAGATTCAAAAACAATCCGGTTTTCATGTAATAACTTTTTAAGAAAAAATGTAATGATTATCATATGATGATTATTATAATGGTATAAGTATTTAGAAATAATAATAATAATAATAATACTAATAATTTTAGTACAATAATTATATTATACCACTATTAAAATGACAATTAATAATATTATTATAATTATAATACTGGAATTATAGCTAAATGTTTTTAATATACAGTACATACATGGTATTAACATAACATAAGTGATAAGTAATTATATTAAAATATTATATATACAGTATCATCATATATTAATACTTTATATACTGTATACTACATAATGATATTAATTTTAAGTATATGTAAAACAATTTATGTAATACAATATACTGTATAGTACTGTAATATTATTGAAGATAATATTAAATAATTTACATTAATTGTCGGCGTTGTTAATTAACAACAAAATGTCAATAAACTTACTTGAAAATAGCAAATTTTTTATATATAAAAAAATATATGTCAGATAGTGGGGTTGGTATCCGACAATAGTTATAGATATTATTATTAAATAATTGCAGTCGATTTAATTGAGTTAAAAATAATAACTTTATTTGTTGAATATTTAAAATGAAAAATACATTGAATGATAAAATAGTTTGAGTATAACTTTCAATACTCATGAGAGACAATCACATACAGTATAGAGTGATACAGGGCTTATATACCCATTTTATGATATGCACTGTACAGTATATTTATAGTGACCACTGTCCATGTGTACCCTGAGGTCAACACTGACCCTGGATATCTGGGCATCAGTGTGCACCTGGTGTCGGTGTGTTTGTCGGTATATTTGTAGTTAGTTTTTATTGGTATACAATAGTTTATTTTAAGTGTATATTGAATATTGTTTGTATGATATGTGTGGGAAAATATAAATATACAGTATTTGTTAAAAATATTTGTTAATTAAAATAAGAAAAATGTTTGATTAAATGCAGTTTTATTGATCACCACTACATCCCCGTTCTTTATGATGACTGTCGGGACTAAATGGTCTGAGTTTAGAGATATGGTATGTATCAGATGTCGTACCCTTTTTGTCAATTTCAATAATGTATGATATGTTTGACAATCGTTTTACCACTTTGAACGGTCCATGCATTATAGGGTCTAATTTTTTTCTAGAAATGTTATTTTTATAATCTACTAAAACATAATCGTTTTCATTTAATACAATAGGATTATGACTTTTATCATAATATGATTTATTAATTGCATGACATTTATTTGAGTTTTCAAAAGCTATATCTCTAGCCTTATCTATGCTAATATCTGACCCATACATGTATTGTTCAAATGGCTTAACACCAAAAAGTAAAAAATTAGGCGAAAATTTTGTTACATTATGTATTGTATTGTTGTATTCAGTGTTACAATCAGTTAAAAGTTTTGGCCAACAAATGTTTTGTTTGTTATCATTTATTTTGCACCTAAGTCTAGTAACCATTGTTTGGTTAGCTCTCTCACACAACCCGTTAGATTGTGGACAGTTAGCTGTTATAAACATGATTTTAATATTGTTTTTAGTTAAATAATTACAAAATTCAGTAGATTTGATGCCTGTATAGCGATCAGCCAAAACTAGTTTAGGTTTTTGTGTTTGTGAAACATTATTAATTAAGTTTATAAAATCTTTGGCATTTTGAGTACTTGAGGCCATTGTCCATATAAAACGAGTAAAATTATCTATTGCTAAGTGAATATAACATTTGCGAGAATTATAGCCATTGAACCCACCTATAGTGTCAATAGAGATAATATCAAACGGTTTGCGGGCCGGGCCTATCTGTGACAATGAACCTAGTTTAGTTTTTCTATTGATTTTGTTTGTTTGGCAAACTTTGCATTTGTCTATAAAAAGTTTAACTTTTTCATATATATTTTTGACATAATAAGCACTAGTGATTAATTGAACCATTTTGTGGGCACCTATATGTCCAAACATGTTATGACAATTAGTTAATAGTTTTTTAGTTATTGATTCGGGTATATAAATACGTTTCATATCTGCTGTTTGTCTTATTATGAGATTATTATCTAATATACAATGTTTGGGTAAATTATTTAAATAACATTTTTGTGTTTCAATGATATCTGTTATGTCAAGTATATCAACAAAATGTTTTGATTGTTTGTTAGATATTTCTAATAAATTGATATATTTTGTGTCTGTGTATATGTCTGTACCTTCAAGTACAGGGTTTCGGCTTAATAGGTCTGCACCAACATTATGTTTACCGGCTATGTATCGTATATCAGGGTTATATTGACCTATTCTGAGTGACCAATTGAATAGTCTAGTGGACGGCTTTTTTATTGAATTAAGCCAACGGAGAGGATTATGATCTGAATAAACAATAATTTTATTACCGTATAAATAGTAGTGCCAATAGTCTAGCGCTTGAATCAATGCTAAACACTCTAATTCAGAGATATTATAATTTTGTTGGTAATTAAGTAATTTGCGGGAAAAATATGCAATTGGATGTACTGTACCATCATTTTGTATTTGCTTGAGTACAGCACCGGTACCTGATTTGCTGGCGTCGGTATATAAAATACATTCCCTATTAGGATTATATATAGCTAGCACTGGTGTACTAATTAAATAATTTTTAATGTATTTGAATGCTATATCGCAATCATTACTCCATACAAATTGTGTATCTTTTTTAAGTAATTTATATAATGGTTCTAATGTTTTGTTAGCTTTAGGTATAAATTTATAATAAAAATTTATTTTACCTAAAAATGATTGTATTTGTTTTGTATTATTAGGTTTAGGGAAATTTTTTATTGCTATCAAATTATCATTAATTGGTGAATATTTATTTAATGTAATGTTATGTCCTAAATATTTTACCTGTTTTTCGGCAAATTTACATTTAGATAGCTTTAGTTTAATGTTTTCATATTTAAATGCATTGAATACTAATTCAATGTGTTTTAAATGTTCATCTATTGATTGTGAATAAATAATTATGTCATCCAAATAGTTTTGGGAAAAATTATTTAAATTATGTTTTTTCAGTATATTTGAAATAACTCTTTGAAATATCATCGGAGAGTTCCGGTATCCGAAAGGCATAGCTAACCACTCATAGTGTTGGTCTACCGTAACAAATGCTGTTTTGTGGACATCTTTTGGGTCAACCCTTAAATGCCAGAAACCGCTAGTTATGTCTAATGTCGTGAAATATTCGCAGTCCCTTAGTTTGTCTATGATATCCATAAACAGTGGGAACGGGAAGTTATCGGCAACTGTTAGCTTATTTAGCTTTCGATAATCAATTGTTAGCCTACTTTTGGTTCCCTCATCGCGTTTAAAGGCTAAAGTGATGGGAAAACTATATGGGGATACACTTTTCCTAATTAAACCCTTTTGTAATAGTTTTACAATTTGTTCATTAATTGTTTTTTGGTCGGCCGGTGAGCACCGGTATGCCCTCAAATTGATAGGTATTTGGCTCGTGAGCTCTATTTTACACATTTCGGTACTAATCATACCGATATCATACTTGTCTATTGAAAAAATATGTGTAAATTTATTTAATAAATTGTTTAATTTAAATGTTTGTTCATTACTTAAGTGATTTGAATTAAGCAATTCAAATGTGTTTATCTCATAACTTTTATTATTTGTATTTGAATAATTAGATAGTATTTCACTCTTAATTATTTTATTGTTTTTATAGTAATTTTGAAATATTTTCAAATTATCTGTTTGATTGAGATTAAATAATTGTATTAAATTTAATCCTATAACTAAACTATAGTTACAATTTTCAATTACATGTAAAATACATGTATGTGTTGTATAACCTATTGTTAAATCTATTTTTACGAGACCTAAGCAATTGCCTAAATTGCTAATAGTTTTAAAATTTATATTTTTATCAATAATAGTTAAATTTAATTTTTTAGCTAAATCGCTATTAATTATTGATATGTTAGCACCACAATCATATATTGCATAAAATATATTGTTATTAACTATTGTTAATATTTTGATTAGATTGTGATGCTTAGGCCTCTGTTTTAGTTTAAATTAATGGCATTGATATCATTTTCATGCATATCTATACCATTAGATTGAGATTCAAATGTATTGATTTGAGTGTTATTTGTTTTGTTTGGGTATTGTTTTGTTTTATTTCGGCAATCGTTGGCCCAATGATATCGGCCTTTGAAACCAAGTTTGTCACATATAAGACAAGGAGAGGGAGGTTTACGCTTAGGTTTGTCTGATTTTGAATCATACCGTGGTTTCGGGATCTGTTTGATCGGTACATTAGGTTTGTTAGTAGACTGAAACCGTTTGATATTATTTTCGGCTGTTTTTGCAATGCTATAAAACTCGACAAAAGTTTTTGGTTTAACTGCCGTGAAATACTCAACCATTTTTGGGTTTAGGTTGTGTACCATAAGTGGTATCATTTGGGATTCAGTGAGTTTAGCGGCAATACCTAACCTACGCTTGGCCTCAAAATACTCTTTAATACCAGAGTTTACATCATATTTTAGATTAACAAACTCTATGATCGGTTCAACTATTTCGACACCGAAACGAGCTATCATTTTACATTTAATTGTGTCATACATATCATTATTATTGTTTTCTATATACCAGTTAAGAGCGTCGTCTTCGAGATAGTTGCCCAATAGGACTGACTTCTCGGTGTCGGACCACTTGTAATGTGTGGCCAACATCTCAAGCCTCTTAAACCAGTTTTCTATAGTGACCTTATCGGCCGTACCCTTAAATACTTGTATTTTTGGCTTACTGTGTGATGTCTTGAAACGAGAGCTGTCGTATACTTCCGTATCGGTTGAGTCGTCGTCAACAATGGTATGTAACACTTGGGCGCCAACACTGTTGGATTGATGAGGTGTAGGACTGGGAGGTGTGCTGTTGTTGTGGTCCAACTCTTTCTCTGCCGGTGCCTGTGATGGTGCTCTCTGTGCTCGACGTCTGGTCCTCTTTGCCGTCATTTTTGATGTGATCGATGGATGGATTGATTTTTTTATTGTTGTTATGTTTGGCCAACTCTTCGGCCGCTTCACTCGCCAATTGCTTTGCGACTGGTATTAAAACTCGGAAAATATTACACTCAACTGTAGTTATTATTAAAACTGTTATTAATGCACACAAAATTAAAAATTTGTGATTCATTTAATTTTAGGATTACTATATCCTGCCGACTATATGTCAGATAGTGGGGTTGGTATCCGACAATAGTTATAGATATTATTATTAAATAATTGCAGTCGATTTAATTGAGTTAAAAATAATAACTTTATTTGTTGAATATTTAAAATGAAAAATACATTGAATGATAAAATAGTTTGAGTATAACTTTCAATACTCATGAGAGACAATCACATACAGTATAGAGTGATACAGGGCTTATATACCCATTTTATGATATGCACTGTACAGTATATTTATAGTGACCACTGTCCATGTGTACCCTGAGGTCAACACTGACCCTGGATATCTGGGCATCAGTGTGCACCTGGTGTCGGTGTGTTTGTCGGTATATTTGTAGTTAGTTTTTATTGGTATACAATAGTTTATTTTAAGTGTATATTGAATATTGTTTGTATGATATGTGTGGGAAAATATAAATATACAGTATTTGTTAAAAATATTTGTTAATTAAAATAAGAAAAATGTTTGATTAAATGCAGTTTTATTGATCACCACTACATATATACTTTCTTATTTTATTCCATTAAGATTATGATGAAACAACTTTTAACTAAATTTTAAAAAACACTTCAAAAAAAATTTTTTTCAGTATTTTAATAATTTGTGTTTTTATTTTTTGATGTAAATAATCATAAGTAAAACACCATTAAAATAAATATCTACAAAACTGAGAACTAATGTTTTCAAAAATAAATAATTAACATTTATTTTTGTTTTTGTTTTGGGCTTTTAATAAAAATTTTATTATTATTATTATTTAATATTAATGTAATTCAATTGATTATATGGTTGGTTCACTGCAATAGTTGTTTTAGAGGGGAGATATTCAACAACAAAAATATCCCAAAAATTAATTTTTACTATTTATTTATTTATTTACTTTTTTTTATTTACAATATTATCTAATTTATATTTTAAGAAATATAAAAAATAAAATTTATTGCAATTTGTTTTTCTCTAAATAAAGATTTTAATCTAAACTGATTATAATTTTTTATATATATACTTATATACAGTATATACTGTATATAATTTTATTTACATAGAGAGAGAAATAGATTAATTAATTTCAATTATCATATTATTTAGTGGATATCATATTTTTTTTGCTAATTTATATATAATTTTTGTGTCACACACACACACACATACATACATACACACACACACACACACACACACACAATCACTCACTCACTCACTCACTCACCACAGATAAAGTTTCTCATATTTATCATTAATTTTTTTGAGGGCAACTCTTTTTCTAATCAATTTTTATTAAATTATTATTAAAACAAATTGTTAACTTAAGGATTATTATATTATAATAATAATAAAAAAAAATAAATAATACAAACAATTTTTTAAATAACAGCATGTGAACTGGAACAAATGAGTATCATTAAAAAATATAAATATATAATAAAAATAAAATTATAAAACAAATAATATTAATAATTGTTTGTTGTAAATAATTAATTATTTTTAAAAAGCATAATAATAAAAATAATAATTGTTTGCTTAAATAATTAATTATCTTAATACATAATAATTTATAATATTAGTATAATTATTGAACTAAATATCTAAATTTAAAGTTAAGGTAATAAACAAAAAACAAATAAACATTTATATAATATAATACATTATATTTAATATTATTTATAGCTAATCTCATTTAGAAATTGTGTAACAATTATACTAAATACAGTATAATTTTGAAAAATTATTTTTTTTATAACTCATAGCTAATTATACTAATTATAATTAACATTATTAACTACTATTATTACTATTAGATAATTAATATTTATATTATTATTATTATTAATTATCACTAAATAGCAAGGAGAGACACCGATGAGCATATGTATCCGAAAAAGCTATACCGATGTCCAGGAGATTATCGCTAATCCTCCGCCCGTGAAGTTGCCGACGACACCGAACGGGTCGAAAAGCGGATCGAAAAAAGAGTTGCCGACAAAAAGTGCGGCCAAACGGGAAAAAGAGAGCTCTCAGGGCAGCAAAGACAGCGGCGAACTGAGACGACAGGAAAGGTTTAAGAAGACCCGATCGGGATCGAGCCGTTCGGTTCACTTTACCACCGATGGCGTGAAGACAACGCCAACGACGGCGACAACAAATGCCAAAAATAAGGACAAGAAAACGACATCGGCCACAAAACTGGTCGGTCAGTCGTGCGAATGGAGTCCATACGGCTGTCATATGCATCCGGATGTCAATGATTTTCCGAAACCCAAATTGAATACACTGCCAGCTGATCCGTTATCCAAAGGTGAACAATATTTTTTGGATTTAGCCGGCAATATACGTAAAGGACCGGTAGCCAAATCAAACAAATGCTATTGTCGGCCATTGATCAGCGATATGGAGAAGCGTATGGAAAAAGACAAACAAGAGCTGATCCAACACATTGACTACGCGCACGAAGATCTAACTGAAAAGATTTGTTCGCTCGAGAAGAAAACAGAGACACAGTTGGTGTCGCTGAACGAAGCCGTCCATCAGAAGCTGTCCAACGAAAAACATGAATGTACTGAACGACTGCATCGGACGGCGCTCAGGGAACGAATAGATAGTCAACGATTCCAGAGACTGCAGATGGAACAGCTTAAGGGTGAAGTAAAAACATGGTTGGCCTCGAAACTGGATCACCATCGGCGCAGTTTTAGTGAACACTTGGATAGGTATCGTGAAGTAGAGAACAGTCAGAATAGGCATCCCATGAACAGTGGTGGTGGTGGTAGTGGTGGCGGAGTCGGTGGTGTTGGCGGTCATCATCTTCAACAGCAAATGTATTGCAGTAATCATAATCTATCGTCGCGTGCATACCATTCCAGTTATCATAAGCATAATCATCATCAGAGTCTACATCCACAACATTTGTTAGAGCGCACCGGTAGTCATGTCAAAGTGCAAGCAGAAGTACATAATGTGCATCAACAAGATCACCAACAGCAACAACAATTGCAACAACAACAACAGCACCGACAGTCAGATTATCAAAGTTTTAGAGGTTTACAGAAATCCGGTGACAGTTTAAGCAATGGTGTGATTGATAGTCAACAACAACAACAACAACTAAAGATATTGAGATCTAAATCTGATATGTATTTAACTGGAAGACCGGCAGACAATGAATCAGACAGTGAAGAGGAGGACAGTAATGCTGAAGAAGAACAAGAAGAAGAAGTTGAAGATAACGATGAGATAAATGAATCGACTTCTAGTGTTACTGTCAGAGCTAACAACAATTATAACAACAACAACAACAATGACAATCATCAGTGCAGTGAACCGTCACATCATGAGATAACAGTGCCAAACGTAGACAGAGAAACAGTCAATAGTAATAATAATAATAATAATAGCAGTAGTAGTACTGTTGGAGATCATTATCATCATCAGCAGCAACAACGACAACCTGTTTACGGTATCGACGACATWGCCAATAGTGACTGTCCAATAATGGACAACAAACCTAAACAACCGTTAACCATACGGACCAGTACGGACACTATTAACGACGGCCATACAATATCAGARCTGAACAGCGCTACCAGTTCGCTGGAGATGACAGCCCATAAYAGCGGCAATKGTCAACAATTGCCATCAGATCCGGAAATGATCAGTGCCGACATCAATCTGTCGGCCGATCTGATGAAAGCGTTGCGCTGTAACGGGTCAGTGGCCAACAATCATACTGGCGAACACTCGGACTCGCCGTTCAACGATTCCGGTTATCGGACAAAGTTTTCGCCGTCGCCACGGGAACAACAGCTACAGCAGCAGACAACAGTGCACGGCTCGCCTATACAGCATGTCGTTCCTTATCAGCACAGGCATGTCAATCAACAACATCCACATCAGCAGCCAATGACATCATACCAGTCGATAGCTTATCATCAATCATCAGTCCATCAGCAGCAGCAACAACAACAACAACAGTACGGACGCGTTCAAGCTTACGATCCGCCAATAGGTCTGCCCACACAACACATACCAGTGCCGCACGTGAGAAGACTGACAACAACATCGACAAATCAATTAGCTTTTAACAACAACAACAACAGCAACGGAGGCACTGCTAATGGATATAATCAGCGGTCATATAGTGGGCCCAACTCTAGTTTGGTGTGAATATATATATAAATGATTTTATTATCAATATTATCAATAAGTAATATATTAATAATAAATGTTTGCTAATATGGTATTAAAAAAATAGTAAAAATAAGGTAAACTGATTAATACATATCACATGTTATCATCAAAAATAAAAAATTAACTAAATCTATGAATAAATTGTCATATTTTTAATGAATTCATTTATAAGGTAAAAATTGTTGAAAATTATTTTTAGTTTTGAGATAATAATAATAAATATGTATAAAAAATTGTTTAATATATGTATAGATAGATAGAGACAAAAAAAAAGAGTAGAGATAACTATATTTTGTTTTAATTGAAAATATTTGTATTTAATTTTTTATTATTAAAATATATTTATATAAATGTATAAATAATATAAGAGAGAGAATATATTAATATATAATTTTTCTGTAATTTAAAATCATTATAAATTAAAATTATTATTATTATTATWTTATAATATTTGTAATAAAATATATTTTTTGAGTGTATGTTTGTTTGTTTGTTAAACTTAAATTAAACTCTAATTAATAAATAAAACTATAAATTATTGATCGTTTTTTTTGTTGATTTAAATTATATTTAAGTAAACTATAATGTAATTGACTCAATAATTTTGTTTATTAAAAAAATACAAGAATTTAATTATTTAAATTAATAATTATTTTTAAAACTATATTATTATATTAATAATTTATGTTTATTTAAATAGTTTTTTTTCTTAATAGTGTATTATTAGTATACAAATAATACAAATTGATTCATATGTGAATGTTAACATTAAATAAGCAAGATAATTTTTAAATAAATATATTTTATATAGTTGAACTTATCTACAGTAGTTTATTTAATGTTAACTTATATTAATATATCACTATGAGTCAATTTGCCACAATTGGATTAGTTGTATGATTATTAGTAATTAAATTATAATACAATATTAATTTTTAAAACATAGATTATAAATAAATATTTAAAATTAAATTATTATTATTTTTACATACAGTACCGGTAGTTTATTTACATAGTAGTATAACATAGTTATCATTATAAAATGATAAAAATAATTAAAGGCCTATTTAAAAACAATTTATTTAATTTTTTGACTGATAATTAGTTTTTAGTTATCTAATATTATAAAAAACAATATTATTCATTTATTTAATAATTTTTTACTAAATGTAATGGTAATTTAATTAATATGACAACAAAATAGTAACACAACAACAAATTTTATACCAATAAAAAAATAATTCAATTAAATAAAATAAAACATATGATTTGATTTTTTTAGTAAAAGTATATTTATTTTTTAAAAATATAAAAAAATAGTCAAACATTTATTTAATATATAAAAAACACTAGAAAATTGTATAACAATAACCATGAGATTTAACCCTTTAATATATTAAAAAACAATATAACTGTCCTCTTAATTATATAAATATATTGCATATATCGAGAACTTAGGCACTAATTTTTCAAAATGGACTCCTTTATGGTGGTTGGGGTGGGCTAGGGGTGGGTTTATTATAGCTTCTGTACCAACAGAGCTGACGCACCGCCACCGCCGTTACATATGGCGGCCATACCGTACTCACTGGGCTTGAGATGTAGCGCCAAATGGTTGACAATACGAGCACCGGAACAGCTATTTGGTAAAGACATAGAGGATGTTAATTATGGATTGTCTGTAATAAACGGTTGTTCACATATATACACATATATACTGACCCTAACGGATGTCCTAATCCAACGGCACCGCCATTGGGATTAACCTTTTCCGGGTTCAACTCCAGGTGCTTGATGTTGGCCAAGCCGACTGCGCTGAACGCTTCATTGAACTCCCAGTGAGCGATCTGTGATTTGTCCAGACCTGCCTTTTCTAATACCTGAGCCATCAATGCCGACAATCAATCAATCAAACAAACATACAAACAGAGAAACACAAAAACAATTATTGTCAAAACCTATTTTACATATACTTACTAAACATATATMTAAATAAATTAGTTATTGAAATATTGAAAAAGTTAAACCCGAAAAAAGTTACAATAATTGTTAAGACCATCTATTAATTATAGCACCTGTAGTAACAAACAAATTCATGCTATAACCCATAGTTTAAGTCACTTTCACAACATATATAGTTGTTTTTTTATTATACCAGAACTTAATTACCATTCAATCCATCGATTAAGAGGACTGAATGAACTCAACTGTCTGGTGATAAAGAAAATAATAAAATAAAATWAACGGAAAATCCGTTTTTTTTATTTCACACACAAATAAATAGATTTTTTTAAAACTAAACTAAAAACAGGATTATACTGTACTTTTGGTACGGCATAGGCAGGTGCAATGCCAAAGTCTTCGGGCTGGACACCGGCATCGGCGTAGGCAATCACTTTGGCCAGCGGTTTGGCTCGAAATTTGGTTAAAGCTTTGGCCGACATCAATACACAGGCGGCCGCACCGTCGTTCAGTGAACTGGCATTGGCTGCCGTTATAGTACCCGTACCGTCCTTTTTGAATACCGGCGCCAAACTGGGAATCTTATCAAAGTTAACCTTCTTGTACTCTTCGTCTTCGATGACCGTAATGTCCGGTCGGCCGCGTTTGCCCGGTATGAGCACCGGTACGATCTCCTCTTTGAACAGTCCGGCCGAACGGGCGCAGCGCCGGTAGCTCTCTATGGCAAACTGGTCCTGTGCTTCACGGGTGACACCATATTTGGCAGCCAAGCCTTCGGTGCACAGACCCATATGAGTCTTACTGTAGGCATCGGTCAATCCGTCCAACACAATGCCATCGTTAAGGGTAATACCTCCGTAGGGGGTTTCGCCGCGTGTCTGATAGTACGGTGCATTGGACATGGATTCCATACCGCCGGCTACCACCACATCGGTGTCGCCCAATCTGATAGACTGTGCGGCCAACATAATGGCTTTCATACCCGATGCACAAACCTTGTTGACATTGGTACAGGGTACAGTTACAGGTATGGCTGCACCCAGCGATGCCTGTCGGGCCGGATTCTGGCCAACACCGGCCGACAGTACGTTTCCGTAGTAGACTTCGTCGACATCGGCACCGTTAATGCCGGCCCTTTCCAGTGCACCCTTTATGGCAATTGAGCCCAATTGTGGGGCTGACAGTGGTGTCAACGATCCGCGATACGAACCGATTGGCGTTCGGGCCACACTTACGATGAATACGGGCTATAGAAGAAAAATAAACGGTATTACAAATAAAAAGTTAAATTATTTATTAATAAAAAATAATTACCTCAGTATTTGATGACATGATTTGTTTTTCAATGTGTATATGTATTGAGAAAAAAATGAGACTCCAAACAACAAATGTGTTTTTAAAAAAAATAGTTTTTTTATTAATTAATTAATTAATTTTATTAATATTAAAATATAACTTTTTTTATATATYAATAAATAAATTACTTATTAAATTATTAAGTATSAAAAAAATGTCGCGTATTTCAGATTTTCGTATTAAGTATTAATGTTGTGTAAGTGTTATCAAATACTTGAGAATTATGATAATAAATATGATATTATTTTTGTTATAACAAAATAAGTTATTATTATTATAATTATTTATTTTAAAAATAATTATAATAAATATTAATAAATTACTAAATTTATACTGAGTATATATTTATTATTTTTTTCATTTATTCAACATAAGCGGAAATACAGTATTATAAGTATATAACTAACTAATAATTTACAAAATCAGTGGTTTTTTTTGAACAATAAATTTAAATATTTAAAAAAAATAAAATAATAATAATTGGTTGACTTTCCTTACTTATACTAACCACACAACTATTATTATTAATAATATTAATAATTACTAACTAACTCATCATATATTCACACAATATAAAAGTATATATATATATTTTTTTGGTGTCAAATATACAGTAATTTATTACTGGATATATGGAAATGTATTTATAGTTATAAAATATAATATAATGGCAAATATTGCCGATGTCACCAAAAAATATTATTTTATGTTATTTTTTTTAAAAAAAAAACTTGTTTTTTAATTAATTATTATTCAATTTTATGTCATTTTATTATTATGAATCTATTTATTATTTATTATTATATATAAAACTAAAATACAACAATTAGCTGTCGAAAGTGTGTTTGAAATTTGAACTTTGAATACACTTTTTAAAAATAAAATATTTTTATTTTTAAAAAACTGTACACCTTTTTTTAAAAAAATAAAATGTGTAAACAACAAAATCAACGTGTACAATTTTACTATAACATCATAATACAAGCTAGCATAGTTACAATATCACTTAATATCACTTTGTATATACTAAATAAAATTAATTAAATAAATTTTAACATAGGTCATCTATTATTAAAAAACAAATATTAAATAGAAATTTAATAAACTAACAACAAAAACATTATCATGCACATTTTTTTTAGTTTTCTAGACAATAATAAATTATAAATAAGTAAATATAAATATATAATGTATGTGTATATATAAATTATTTTGCTTGTATATATATATACAGGTTTATTTTTGGGTGACCTTGGGTTTTTTTGTCAATGTGTTTGTGTAATATATTTTATGGTATATTGGGGAAAATTTCCCCAAAAACTACAATTATTATTATTACATTGCCAGTGTAATTTCCCTAAATAAAACTGATTATACTGTATATTACAAATAAAATTTATGCACATTTTTTAAACGTTACGACATCTAGCTTTTAAATTATTTCAAAACATTGAAATATTAATATATTTAGTTTATTTAATAAAATTATCAACTTTTTAACATGTTCAATTAATTAATTAAAAATAATTCAATAAAAAACAAATTACTATTTTTTATTATTTAAAAAAACATAATAATTAGTTTACATTAATATTTTTTTTAGTTGACTATTAATTATAATTGATTATATTATTTTTACAAAATATTATTATGTTTATGAATTTAAATGTTGTAAATAATAAATTTACTGTATATAAAAAATATATATATAAAGTTATATCAATAAATAATTGCAACAAAAACTATATATTTATTAACAATTTGATTTAATTATTATTATTTTTAATGAATTTAATAGTAAAAATCGTAGATTTATAATAATACTAAACTATTTATTTAATATCATATTTATATATTTAATATAATAAAAATCTATTATATTATTTGTTATAGGTATAATATATAATATATAAATTTTTATACAAATATTCTTATTAATTACAACAAAATATTTCATAATATAATTTATATAACAATTTCATTATTATTATAATTATTACATTAGATTTTTTTTTAATTTGTTGTTGTTGTAATTACTATAAATAAACACAATTATAGATATATTTATATCAATAAATAAAATAAATTAACACAATTTAGTACATTATGTAAAAAATATTGAAATATTAATTTCACTGTTTTATTATTATTATTATTAATGCATAAAACGACAGTGCAATCTGTTTATGTAATATTATTAAGTAATGGTATATTTACTTATATATATTATAATAATATTTATTTTTATATTAATTAAATAACATAACATATAAAATTACATGTCATAATAGTATAGTTATCATATTATTTTTTAAAAAATAAACTATTGCAATGGTATTACAAATTACATAAGCAGCCTCGGGTCGATTTGGAGATAGGCTTTCCTATCATTTGTACAGTCATACTATTAATAGTATTTCATATTAATGATAAGTGAACACAATGTACCCGTGCGATAATATGATACAGTACATGTATACTGTATATAATATGTTCAATGCACTCAACACACATACAGGTGCAATGTGTGTTCATTTTGCTACCAACAAAATATAAATACCGGTGCTCTCTCTCTCTATCATCAATTCATATATCAAACATACTGTCTTGACTTAAAAAACTTTTTTTTTAGAAAATAATTTCATAAATTTATCCAACAAATTGTGTGTAAAAATTTCAATTTATTAATTATTTTATTAATTTTATTGACAATTGACAAAAAAAGGTTAGTAATATCATTATATAAATAAAATTATTTCTGATTTTTTCACATAATTTTTTTTTTTGGATTAAATTATTAACTTTTAAATGTTTGTTTGAACAGTGAGTTGATAATCAAACATTCAATCAACAATGGATAACAAACTGGACGACGACAACAGTCTCAAACCTACCGATGCCGATAACCGAGACAATCATCGCGGATGTCATCGCTGGTTTCACGATCATCACCATCATTGGGACAGACACCACTGGTACGGTGGCCATCACGGACACCACGGACAACAATGGTTTTATGGACCTACAGTTTATGTACTACCATCACACGAAGATCCCCGATTTCATAAACACTGCAGGTGGTCGTCTCAGCGATACGGCTATCCCGGACAACCAATGTTTGGTCCGATGAAACCGACCTATATASTAGCCGGCGAACAATGGCCAATGGACAACAGTGGCCGTCATCATGGTTGTCATTCCCGGTTTTACGGCGGACATCATAACCGAAATCATGGCCGCGAATGGGGATTCGGGTTTAATGATATGCCATAACTTATTGATTTTATTAAAAATCTAATTATGAGTTTTTTACTATTACTTATTAACAAACAATTGTTTAATTAATTTTCTAATTAATATTGTGATGTAATAATTTGTTTTTTTTTATTGAAACAAACTTATATGTCATTTAAGTTACTCTACATTTATCTGTATTTGTAATATTATATACTATATTATGAAATAAAAATTTATATATATTATTTTTATTTGCTTTAATATCGAGTATTTTATGCTACCGTAACACACACACACACACATTATGTACGTGTTGGTACTGTAAACGCGCGTGAAATAAATTATATAACAATATTAATGGTAGAAAATTCAAATTTATAATTATTTTTGTTTGTTTGTTATTTACTTAATAGTTAACAAACGTTAACTATCATTATATATATACTTTATATTAAAGGGACTGTTATTTTTGACATAATCTAACACTAGACCTACTAAACCTAATCAAATCGGTTATTATTGTTTTTTTGTTATCACATTTACTTCACATTCATTCATATATATGACACACAATCGGGTGACCAGAACGGCGTCCAACACGTCATCAGCTAAAAAATCGGTGGCTGTCCTTAAACGATGGTTACGCCGCAAACCGTTAGTTTCCGTACTAATCGGTGTAGTTATAGGCGCCGGCTTAGTAGTTGTGGCCAACAAAGTTAACGGATCCAAGTCGATTGTTGAACTAAAACAGTCATATCATCGGTACCCATATTAGTTCAACACATTAGCCGACACCAGCCAATACATTCACAATCAAATTTTTAAAAAAAAACTACCAGTGCTTAATTGGATAAGCAAAATTTTATGTAATACTTATTCAATAAAAAACAATATTTTTAAACAAAAATTTTATTGATATTTACATTATTTTTTTTGTAAATGAATAAACATATAATCTATAAGGTTTAGTATATCAACTAAACTGTTAGTACATTAGCTCTCAATATCTTTTATTTAATTATAATTTACATTTAAATATAATAAACTTTTTTTTAATACTCTAATATTATAATATCAGTTGTGTATTAAACTTTATGAAATAAAATCATATATCAAACAAAAATGTTAATTAAATTGAATTTTTAGTAAAAAATTATTTATTTATTTTATCTATGATTTTATGATCTCATATAGTGTGACACAATATTATTAAAGTATTAGAGTATTAAATAAAAGTTTAGTATATTTAATAAATTAAAATTAAATAAAGATATTGAGAGCTAATGTACTAACGGTTAGTACAGTAGATATACTAACCTTATACATGTTAGATATCAATGCCAAACCATCATTTGCAGCACCGTTATATGTATTAAAAATGTTTATACAGTACAACAAAAATGATTTATTAAACAAATTATTTTAATATAACTATCAGAGAAGCATTAAAAACAATTAATAAATTTAATTTTTTAAATTTTAAATAACTTTAGTTTGCATAGTAGTTTGCATAGTCAAAAATCAATGTTTTTTTAAATTATTACATACACTTTACCTTGGTGATTCTACTGTAGTTTACTTGTCAAATATGTAATCTTATCTATATTTATCAATTTAGACTAATCAAAATAATTTTAATTTAAACAAAATACTATATAAACTGATTTTTTTAATACTGTCATAAAATTATGAAACTAAGTGTTTATGTAATTAATTAATTACAAACACATAATTTGTTGTGTTTTATAATATATTTAAAATTATAAATTAATACAAAAAATATAATTAATAAATACAAACAATGTCTACATTAAATGTATTTACTTTTTAATATTAAATAACTTATAAGTTTTTTTTTAATAAAATATGCTTAATATAACCTACCTGTCCACTCATTTTTTCAAATAATTAGGACGTTTTCATCGTATCCTATGCCCGGACACCGATCGGATCGTTTCAAGGCTTACTGTCCACACTGACTGCTCCTCAATTGGGTTCATTGGCCATTAAGGGAGCACTGGAAAGGGCTGGTATTACTGGTACTGATGTCGATGAGGTGTACTTTGGCAATGCACTACAGGCTGGTCTGGGTCAGGCACCGGCCCGCCAGTCGGCACTGGGAGCCGGCATATCGAACACCACTCCCTGTACCACTGTTAACAAGATGTGTTCATCAAGTACTAAAGCCATCATAATTGCCGCACAGACCATACAGTGCGGCGCCAACGATGTTGTGGTCGCTGGTGGTACCGAATCCATGTCCAGAGCACCCTATTATCTGGATCGGGGACAAACACCGTACGGTGGCGTCACACTCAACGACAGTATAGCAACCGATGGACTATTGGATGTCTACACACAGTTGTCGATGGGTTTGTGCGCCGAAAGTCTGGCCAAAAAGTTTCATATCAGCCGCGAGGATAGCGACCAACACGCTATTGACAGCTATCAGCGCAGTATTAGTTCATCGGAAAGCGGCTTATATGCCAAAGAGTTAGTACCAGTGACCGTACCGGGAGTTAAAGGTCGACCCGACACTATTGTCCAATCGGATGAAGAGCTAACGCGAGTTATTTTTGACAAAATTCCTACATTGAAGCCAGCGTTCAGTGATAACGGTGTCATTACAGCGGCAACTACTGGTGCCTTTAGCGACGCCGGTGCAGCACTGGTACTAATGTCGGCCAAAGCTGTCGAAAAGTTTGGCGTCCAACCGTTGGCTAAAATAGTGGCCACAAGCGATGCCGGCGTCGATCCTATTGACTTTGGACTGGCGCCTACCTATGCTGTTCAAAAGGTTTGTCCAATTTAAAAAAAAAATCTATGTATCACTTCAACAAAACAAAAAAAAAATAATCAATCAATTATTTTACGGTATATAATGTGTGTATATATATAGCTTTTAAAAAGCGCTGGTATTAGCCGGGAACAGGTGGCACACTATGAACTAAACGAACCGTTTGCCTGTGTAGGATTGTCCAATATAAGAGCATTGGGATTGGCTAATGATATTCACAAAATTAATCCAAACGGCGGATCGGTAGCACTGGGACATCCGTTAGGGTAAGTCATTAATAATTAAACTTTTTAAAAAAATAATACTATAAAACTAACCCGTGCATTTTATTTTGTTGGTCGATTTATCCGATATAGGTTTTCCGGTGCCCGTATTGTTGGCCATTTGGCCATGAATCTCGGTGACCATGAATACGGTGTGGCCTCAACGTGCAACGGTGGCGGCGGTGCATCGGCACTGTTACTACAAAAAGTTTAATACTAATACAAAATGTTATTATTATACAGTATATTGATTGATAGATTAATTAATTATTTTTTTTTAAAAAAAAGTATAATAAAACCACTATTTTTATTACATATAAAAATCAAATAAATAAAACAACAACAAAAAAATCTGTTGTTACACTACCTGTTCTCTCAAATTGATAACCCGATCTACTGTATCGATATGCGATATACTATTACAATAAACTACCTGTTCTCTCTTCTCAATACGAGTGCAAATGCAATGGCCAACATAATAAGCATACCGGTTACGGCAGCGACCATACGACGGCTGTTTGACGATAGTCTTCTGTTTCGCTGATTGGGCGGATACAGCGACTCCAGTCGGGAATTACTGTCGGCTGCGTCACGTGACTCCCATTGGTTCACCATTTGACCGACATTTTTGCCCTCATTGGCCAATAGCTGTAGCAACGACTCGAGCTCTCTGTCCTGAACTGTTTTTATGTGATCCCAGCGAATGCGTGGCCGACTGCGTGCCATCGCCCGTGTTCCGCGAGTTAGCTGACGATTTGATTGTGTAGACAACGGTGATGGCGGCGTCGGTGGTCGATACGGTTGTATTGCCCATGAACTGGTTGGCGATCGACCAGAAATATCGGCACCTGTACTGAGTGCTGACTGTTTCCACATTGCCGATGGTTGACCACTGGACCGAATTGGTGCCGAAACTGTCCGCGATTGTTGTCCCGAACGGGTCAGTACTGATGGTTTGCGCAGCGGTTGTAGTGACTTACGTGGTCTGCTTCGGGATTCCCATTGTCTGACCATTTTGTTGGTACTCATACCCTGTTCGCTCAGTGTACGTTTCAACGAACCAATCTCCCGGTCCTGTACTGTCTCGATGTGACCCATACGGATCACTGGCCGACTACGCGATTGTGTTGGCCACGGTGTTGATGGTCGACCAGAAACGCCAACCGACTGTTGACTATTACTTGAAACTGTTTGGTAGCTACTAGTGGTTGGCAGCGCTAGAGATGCGGAAACCGGCAATTGACTCTTACGGATAAGCAGTGATGGCGTACCTACCGTCGATCGACGGGATGGTAGAGTACCGATTGTGCTTCTTCTGTTGCTGCTCCGTGACTCCCATTGTCTGGCCATTTGACCAACATTTTTGCCTTCGTCGGCCATTAAACGTTTAAACGAATCGATCTCCCGGTCCTGTACTGTATCGATGTGACCCATTCGTATAAGCGGCGGACGAGGCGATCGTGTTGGCCAAGGAGTTGGCGGACGTCGTGCTCGTGACTGTCGCTTACCGGTAGTGCTGTTAGGTATGTCCTGATTGTTATCCATTTGTGTCTTTGTATGTATGTTTGTGTCTTAAATACTAGTGCTATCTAATCAATTGTTTTCAATATGTTTGTGGCTTTTTTTAATTTTTATTAAAAAATGTTTTTTTTGCAATTTATAAAAAATATCATATTATTAGGTATTGTATTAAAATTATTAAATTTGATACTTTTATATTTTGTTTTATACTATGTATGTATGTGTTTCATTATGAAACTTTCATAGTATGTCATAGTATGCCATATTTTGTCATATTATGTCATACTGTGTCATCCTATTGCATACTATGGCATAGTATGGCATAGTATGGCATATTATGGCATATTATGGCATATTATGGCATACTATCTCATAGTATGCCTTTCTATCGTTACTATTTTTTTTGAAAAAAATAATTTAACTATTAATAACTATTTATACTATAACTATTAGCGAATATATTAAATGTTTTATAATATATATACTGTATAAACAATTTTTGTTGTCTTGTTGTTTTGTGTTAAATTAAATGTTAACTATTTTTTAAAAAACATCAACTGTCCATCAGTACTGTATCTACATATTACTGATTTTTACTAAACTAAATAACTGTACTATAATTGCTTAATATGATAGATATTTTTTATTTGCTACTGTTGTTGTTGTTAGTTTTTTCTGGTCATTTAAATGCTATCCATATAATGCATATTTAAAATTGTATTAGGAGTAGCTATCTTTAGGTGGATTGTTTTTTTTTTAAACTATACACATCCCGTTCCCCTCCCTCCCGACTTCCCACCACTTGATGTTGTTGTTGCTGTTTGTGAACAAACAACAACAACAACAACAAAAACTGTGAATCAAAGCAAAAAGTCAAAGTCCCGTTCCGCTCGTAACTCTCTGATGTCGATCATATGGACGTAATCGACGCCCGGTTGGTAGCGGCCGGTCGGGTCGAAACGGTGAAAGAAGATACGAGGACTGTTTTGATCGCGCCGTTGCATCCATCGTATGCCATTGTTGGTAAAATCTCTTAGCTCTTCGACAAGCTCTTCGCCAACAAATGTCATCCAACCGAAAAGCAAAGTACCGCCAACAGCGACCATAGCAAAGGGATTGTAGTTTTGGTGGCCCAACAGAGACAGAAACGACGCCACTGTTGCCGAATTGGCCAACAGACCCGAGGTGTAGGCGACTTGACGGTAATGGGCACCGATATAGGCGAGCGGTCCGGATCGGTAGTCTCGTACAATGTCCGGATGCTGGAAACGTTGATTGCAAGTGGGACACGGGTTGTCCAGTGTGGCGATTATGGTCCGGACGACACAAGTATAGTGATAGAGACCGTTTTCCTCTTGACATCGACAGAATCGTTGGACAGGTTGCTCGCGGGTGTGGACTTCCAGACAGGCCACACAACGACGCTCATTGAACGGTGGTAACGGTGCATATGGTACTACTGGTCCCGACATAATGATTGATAGTATTAATAATTAGATGTTTCTATTGGATCTGTCAGAGCAGCTGTGATTTAAAAAGACTAAACAATTGTTTTTTTTTGAATTTTTTTTTTAAAATAATTTTTGTTTTGCTTTATTTTTAAAAATTTTAATTATTTTTTTAGTGTTAGTACTCAACTCTAAATAAATTTTTAAATAAAAAAATGCTGTAAAAAATTTAATACACAATTTATTTATTGATTTATTCAAATGTTTCAAACAATTTAGTTATTTTTCAGTAATTGATATCTAGTTTAAACATAAATCTCGAAAAATTTCATATTTACTTTTAGATCTTAAAAAAACTTATTATTAATTAGTATATATATATATCAACACAAACATAGTTTATGCAATTTTATATAATAGTTTTTCTAATCAATTTTGTTTTTTGTGGTTATTTTAAATTAAATTAGAATTTAGTTATTAAAAAAAATATTAAAAATTTAAATAAATAGATAGAAAATATTAGTTTGTTTTCAAAACTAATTTCAACTAAAAAAAAATAAACAGAAGTTTTTGTTGGCATTTCATTTTGAAAGTCAACCCCCAATAGTGTCGTCAATATTTAGGCCTACTTTTCACTCTCCATCTCCTGTTGTTGTTTTAAGTGCTGTCCATCCAGTGATTAGATGGTAACCACTGAGCTGTCATTGCTCTTACGTTTCAATGTCTTAGCCTATAATATAAACAATTTTGTTTTGTTTTACAAATTTAATTGATTTTATCAATAAATTGTTTAAAAAAAAGAAATTTATTTTTCTCTACATTTTTATCATTTTTGAGTTTTGATTTTTTTGAGTAACAAATTATTAGACAAATGACGATAACTATGACGACAATCACTGCTATAATGTAAGGCATATAACCTTTTTTTGTTGGTCGAGTCAGTTGTCGGGCTTAGGGTTGAATGGGTTTGTGTTGTTTGGATCCAAATATTTTGACAGTTAATGGCATACGGTTTGAGACTGTCTTTGGATTTGCACTAAAAAATACAATTATTGAAGAAAAAAAACAAACAAATATGAAATACAAAAAACTAATAATAAAACAGTTATTACTTTCGGTGACAGCGTTTGGTTCAATGGTGTCGAACAATATATGACCGGAACAGTTGTTACCGTAATCGGCGATACCATAGTCGACAATACCGTCGACCAGTGGCCAGAGATTGTCGGGTATATCGTCGATGAATTTTGGATACAAACACCCAAATTGTTTGCATTCATCGAAACTCATTATACTATTAGTCCAAATATAGATAAATATGACATCATTTTTTTATGTCTGTTCACTATTATAACATATTTGGTCAATTGGTGGGGAACGGGACTAAATAGGATAACATCTTTGATATTGTATTGTAAATGAGAGTAATATATATATATATTTTTGGAAATAACATCGGGTTTTGACAGTTGTGTTTTTGGATGGGCTATTAAATATAATTTATATATTTAATAGTATTACACATACAGACACACATACATACAACCACTCTCTCTCTCTCTCTCTCTCTCTCTCTCTCTCACGCACACACACACACACACACACACACACATACATACACACATACATACACAAACACACATACATACATACTTACAGTAATAGTATTACAATTTATACAATATAATTATTATATAAATAGCCATTATTGAGTAACTTTGTATTTTTGACGGTATATTTGATAACACCATTTGTCTTAACATTTGTTACATTACTATTGTCTAGTAATGTCACTACTGGTTCATTACTACTGTTTGTTGGAAACGATACTCTAACACATCAAATCTTTAAGTTATAAAATAAGTTAAAATTTATTATATAATTTATTTATTATCATTTTTTAATTAATTTTAATTTCAACTCAAATTAATCAACAACAAAAATTCATACATATACTTATAGTGTAACTGAAATATATAAATTTCATATTAGTAAAATACATTTTAGAAATTAAGTATCAATTATTAAACAAAAATTTTAATTATAAATTTTCATACAATAGACTGTCAATTATAATTTTAGTTTTATTTTTCAATAACTATATAAACTATTAATATTATAATACTATAATAATATTATAAGTTTATTATTATAGAAACTTTAGTATCAATAGTGATATTATAGAAATAATTTATATTATATAATATTATATAATATATTGATATCACGAGATTATTAACAATAATATAGAGTAAACTAAACGACAATTATTTTGTTTAATTCAAATTTCAATACTTATTCAAAAAACTGTCAAAAACTGCAAAAAAATATTTGTTATTTTTAAGTAATCATTTGTTTTGTTTGTTTTTTTTGAGACCAATTAAAGTGACAGCAAATTGTGTCAAACAAATTGCAAAGAGAGACAAACAAATATTCAAAAACAACAACAATTAAACAAAAAAGACAATGCATTTCTGTCTTATCAAACAATTACTAGTCCTATGTCTGGTCGGCGCTACTGTTGTTGTTGTCCAGTGTTTGCCGGCTTCGCAATCAACGTCATTGTTGTCATCATTATCATCAGTGGTGACCACCACTACCACCATCACCAACAACACAAGTGGACATCAACCCCAGCATAGACTGGTTCGACGACAAGATGCCGACACTCAATGCAACCAAACAAATTTGGATGTAGAGGCGTGTATTGCGAATAAATGGGGGCAATCCTCTAAACCCTCGGGGGCACCAACCCTTTATACCGACAGCCCTCCAGTACCACCAGTACCGACTAACAAATTGTGTTGTCTATCGCTACAGTATTTCTGTTCATTTAACAAAATGGTCAGTAATTTGACATAAAAAACAACTGTTTATTGAAAGTGTTTTAAATAACTAATGAATTGTATGTTTGTCTGTCCTATTTTTTTTATGGTGGGTGGGCTCTGGTGTTGTGATTGACTGATATCTCACTTGGTCACGACCAGTTGGATGACAAAGTGTGTACACATGAAAAACTAGATCCACTGATACAGAAAGACAAGGAAATGATAGACAATTGCCGACAAAAAGGTATCCAACCGACCGATCAAATGTGTAAACCATTGGAGATCACACCCACTGCCGGTGTATCGGAAGTGTGTAACAAGTATTTGTGTTACGACAGCCCGAGTTCTGGTGGCGGTAATAACGAAGCTCCAGCACAACCGTCCAGCAATTCAACGGTTAGTTCAACGGCTGCTACCAGTCCTCAGAGTCTGACTATCACAAGACTGGCCACTGTAGGCATTGCTATGATGTCGACGATTGTTACTATTGCAATGTTTTAATATTTCGTTTTATTGTTTTATTTTAGTTAGTTTTGTAATTGCAATCAAACAAATTCATTAGTAATAATAGTCCCAAAATTTATATCTCATTATTTTGTTATTATATTAGCCATTGATTATTGATTTCATTTATTTAAAGTTATTATTATTTGAATTTTCTTTTGAAATATTTTTTTTGTTACTAAAATTGTTTTGTTTTATATTATTATTATTATATTTGTTTTAGTTTTAAGAAGACATTAAGTCTTATTATCTATACTTTTAAAAATAAAGTAATTTTTTGTTTGTTTGAATTTATTAGTTTTTGATTATTTCATTCAAATCGTTTTTTATATCAAATTATTTTCTATTATTATATTTTTAGTTTGGTTTAATAGATTTCAAGCTTATAAAACAAATAATATTTTTTTTGCTAACTTGTATTTATGTAATTGTAATTATATTTGTAAAAAACTTATTGACTACTATTAGTTTTAKCATTAACTTTATGTATAATTAAATAAAAATCTGTTAATWAACAACCAAATATAATTTATTTATTAATCATTTTTTAATTAATTTTAATTTCAACTCAAATTAATCAACAACAAAAAATCATACCTACTTATAGTGTAAGTGAAATATTTAAATTTCATTTTTCATTTTTCACATTTTAGAAATTAAGTAACAATTTTTAAACAAAAATTTTAATTATAAATTTTCATACAATAGACTGTCAATTATAATTTTAGTTTTATTTTTCAATAACTACAATATTATTATAACTTATAATTTATAAGTCATACCAATCACTTATTATAGAAATTTTAGTATCAATAGTGATATTATAGAATTATATTATATAATATATTGATATCACGAGATTATTAACAATAATATAGAGTAAACTAAACGACAATTATTTTGTAAAATTCAAATTTCAATACTTATTCACAAAAACTGTCAAAATCTGCAAAAAAATATTCGTTATTTTTAAGTAACCATTTTTTTTGTTTGTTTGTTTTTTTGAGACCAATTAAAGTGATAGTTCAGTTCAGGCGATAGCAAATTGTGTCAAACAAATTGCAAAGAGAGACAAATGCATTTCTGTCTTATCAAACAATTACTAGTCTTATGTCTGGTCGGCTCTACTGTTGTTGTTGTCCAGTGTTTGCCGGGTTTGCAATCAACGTCATCGTTGTCATCATTATCATCAGTGGTGACCACCATCACCACCACCACCAACAACACAAGTGGACATCAAACTCAGCATAGACTGGTTCGACGAGAGGATGCCGACGCTCAATGCAATACAATAAATTTCGCTGTAACCAAGTGTATTGCGGATAAATGGCCACAAAACTCTCGGGGGCTAAACCTATATAAAGACAACTTTCCAGCACCCACTGACAAATTGTGTTGTCAATCGCTACAGTTTTACTGTTCATTTAACAAACTGGTCAGTAATTTGACTTAAAAAAAACAACTGTGTATTGAAAGTGTTTTAAATTACTAATGAATTATTTGTTTGTTTGTCTTTTTTTTGGTGGGTTGACTCATGTGATGTGATTGACTGATATGACCAGTTGGATGACAAAGTGTGCACACATGATAAACTAGACTCCAATATACAGAATACCAAGAAAATGGTAGACAATTGCCGACAAAAAGGTATCCAACCGACCGATCAAATGTGTAGACCATTGGAGACCACACCCACTGCCGGTGTATCGGAAATGTGTAACAAATATTTGTGTTACGACAGTCAGAGTTCTGGTGAGGGCGGTAGTGGTGGCGGTAGTGGTAGCGGTAGTGGTGGCGGTAGTGGTAGCGGTAGCGGTAGTGGTAGCGGTAGTGGTGGCGGTAATGGTGGCGGTAGTGGTGGTGGCGGTAGTAGTGGCGGTAGTGGTGGTGGTGGTGGTGGCGGTAGTAGTGGCGGTAGTAGTGGCGGTAGTGGTGCTAACGAAGCTCCAGCACAACCGACCAGCAATTCAACGGTTAGTTCAACGGCTGCTACCCGTCCTCAGAGCCTGACTGTCACAAGACGGTTAATCGGAAGTTTAAAGCCCAGTTATAAAATAGTGTTTTTTCAACGGAAAATGCTTGTTTTGGTCCTAAATAACATATTCCGATAAAAATAAAAGTGCGGAAACACCTAAAACCTACTAAAAACTGGCCTAACATACCTGACCTGACATACATAGCATAACATTATTATTACAGTACAGTAAAATCCAGCTAACTCGGTGCGCATGATCTACAAAATTTATACTGTTAATGCTATAGAGAATAAGACCATACTATCCTCACACGTTCATACAGAAATATATTGTTTTATCGTAATACAAGTCAAATATTTTAAAATTACGGTTAGCATCAATATCTTGTGACCACTTGTGACCAAATAAATTTTTAAATGATTTATATGTAATTTTTACCGCTGATTACGAATATGTTAATAAAATTTTTATACATCATATAAATTTTGAAATATTCGATTTTAAAGTCGAAATATTTTAAATAACGTAATTTATGAATATAATACATCATTTCTATGTAATTTTCAACGCTGATTACAAATATGTAAATAAATTTTACAAAATAGTTATATAAATTACTATTAAATATGTTTTACTTCAACATTATGTCCATCACTACCAGCTGGGTGTAAGATATTAGAAACTTCGTGAAATAACTTCCCGGCATTGCAGGCATTTTTATTATAAAACAAATTGTTACTCTAACAACTTTTGGAATGGAAAGACGAGTGCGCTCAATCCAAGTATCCTATTTATAAAAATAGTATTTACTAATACCTTTGTGTATGCAAAGAATACAATTTCTTATCAAATTCTACAATAATTATTTAGATTTTAATTTTTTAAATATTACAATATTGTAATATATGTAAAGTATCAATTAAAAAACTAAAAAATGTATAAATTTTCTGAATATTTCAAAAACTATTTCATGTAGTTAAAATTTATTTATATATTTGTAATCAGCGTTAAAAATTGCATAGAAAAGATGTATTATATTTATAAATTACGTTACTTAAAATATTTCGACTTTCGACTTTAAAGTCGAATATTTCAAAGGCTATTCGATGTATAAAAATTTTATTAACACATTTGTAATTAGCGTTAAAAATTACATAGAAATTATGTATTATATTCATAAATTACGTTACTTAAAATATTTCGACTTTAAAGTCGAATATTTTAAAAGCTATTCGATGTATAAAAATTTTATTGACATATTCATAATCAGCGGTAAAAATTACATATAAATCATTTAAAAAATTATTTGGTCACAAGTGGTCACAAGATATTGATGCTAACCGATTAATTTATGTCATTTTATTTGTACAGTATGAATTTTTGTTAGTGAATGTGTAGGATATGTATGATTACGACTTAACAATATATTTATGATGAAATGCTCCGACTTGAGTGCATTTTACTGTAATCTAACTAATTGTTATTGTAAGCGCGAGAATATTACTATTGATAAAACTTAATAATAATACATTATTTTTAGAACTAAGCGCGAGATTAATATTTTTAATATTAATTATTCGATAGAATAATTTTTTTAAACCCCAAGTATTATATAGATTAGGTAAAGTTACTATTGAAAATAAGGTTAGGTTGCGGATCGAACACCAGGTTAGGTAACGGAGCTAACACTAATACATTAGATTAGGTTATGTTAACATTTGTGTAATACCATTATAATTAGGTTAAGGTTGCGGATCAAACACCAGGTTAGGTAACGCGACAAACACTGATTCGGTAACCCCAGTACTGTATAGATTAGGTTAACATTGAAATTTAGATTAGGTTGAGAACGAACACCATGTTAGCTATTTATTATATAATTATATTATGAAAATGTTTTTATAATTATTTTATAATTGTTAATAATTATAATTTTTATTCTCGTGCTTTAATGCATGTTTAATAACTTCTATATATTAAAGTTTGTTTTTTACACTATGTTTATGTATGTGGGGTCAGTTATGTTATGTTAGATTTGAGTAGGCTTTAGGTGTTTCCGCACTTTTATTTTTATCGCTTAATGTTTTTTAGGACCCAAAATAGTATTTTTCGTTGAAAAAACACTGTTTTATCACTGGGCTTTATACTTCCGATCGGCCCACAAGACTGGCCACTGTAGGCATTGCTATAATGTCGACGATTGCAATGTTTTAATATTTCGTTTTATTTTTTATTTTAGTTAGTTTTGTAATTGCAATCAAACAAATTCATTAGTAATAATAGTCCCAAAATTTATTTCTCATTATTTTGTTATTATATTAGCGATTGATTTCATTTATTTCAAGTTATTATTATTTGATTTTCTTTTAAAATAATTTTTTTATTACTAAAATTGGAATTTTGTATTAGTTTTAGTTTTAGTATTAGAATTAGTTTTTTGTATTATTATTATTATATTTGTTTTAGTTTTAAGAAGACATTAAGTCTTATTATCTATACTTTTAAAAATAAAGTAATTTTTTGTTTGTTTGAATTTATTAGTTATTGAATAATTCATTCAAATAGTTTTTATATTAAATTATTTTCTATTATTTAATTATTATATTTTTAGTTTGGTCTAATTGATTTCAAGTTTATTAAATATAAGACAAATATTTATTTATTTTTGCGAACTTATATTCATGTAATTGTAATTATATTTGTATAAATCTTATTAACTACTATTAGTTTCATCATAAATTTTATGTATAATTAAATAAAAATCTGTTTTTAAAAACAACCAAATATAATTTTATATAGTTTTTTTATTGATATTAAACACAATTTATAAAATTGATAACTATTTAAATTATATTTGAAAAAATTGGTCGGCAAACACGTGCAAAAAAAAAAAAATATTTAAATTATAAAATTGTATTTTTTTTAAAAAACCAATATTACATATACTGTTTATATATAGTTCACAATAACTGATTTTTTTTAGAAGATTACATATTTTTGAAACCAGTAACCAACAATCACACCAACTAACTGTCCTCTTTCAGTGATCAACAAATGTACCATAATTTATCAGCCAATGTTACCGCCGTGGCTGCCGTACTATTGATTATATGTTGGCCAACAACAACTGTATCGACAACGGTCGGCAAACAAGTCGACCGCCCTTTAGTTCGCCGATCGGCCGACAATTGTCCGACAATTGCCGACAAACTGGTCGRCTGTGTTAATAGCAAATGGAATACCCGTTGGAATATTACGTTCAGGGATGTGGTAAACCCGGAGCTGGAAAATGCCTACAAACAGTCGTGTTGTGCATCACTACAGTTGCTCTGTGGCGGCAAACAAATGGTAAAACTAATTGTTTTTTTWAAATATAWAWTTTTTCTATATTATAATAACTGGGGTTTTAATGTTTTTTCCATWTATTAGCTACCGGTGTGTCCTAATATACAATCAAAAGTCAATTTTATGCAAAAACTATATGACGATAATATAAAAAGATATTGTCTGAACATGTCGTTTACGCCAAATGAGGCCAACTGTGTTGGACTGGTAGCCAAAGCCGATATCAACGACAACAACAAACAGTGTMCAGAATTGTTGTGTTACAGTACTGATCSACAATCGATAGCTACAGATAATACTACCAGTTTGTCGTTGTCGTCRTCGACAGTATCGGTAGACGACTCGTCAAAAACAACACAATCTAATGGTTTGTTTTTGCAGCCAATGGCTACAAGTGCTCAATATGTGGTCATCATTGTGTCGGTTATTATTGTCATAATTACAATATTTGTAGAAAATATAATCTATTCATATAGTAATTGATTTTTTTAAATTTTTTCAATGAATTAAWTATATGTAAAGTAAATCTAATTAATTATATCTGTAATAATACTTTAATAATTGTTTTTAATTATCAGTTATTTTATAGTATTTAAGTATTTCTGTTAATAATTAATATCTTTTTATATATTTAATTAAAAATACATTTAAAAAGATTTTATTTATAAATATTGGATTAAAAATTATACATCTAATATGTTAATTATTTATAAAATGCATGAGATTGTAAATAGCASGGGTAGGTAAAGGCWKMGGGATTGATCAATTGRTACAGTGCAAAATAGGTACTGGCAATGCCGGCTACCAATCCAATTGCTATTGTTATATACATAAATATTTTGAGTTTTCTGTCTATTTGTCTTAAAAATTAATTTTTAAAAATTATTGCAATTAATTGTAAACTAAATAAATTATTGAAAATCATATGGACATACCTTTTAGGCCAAACCGGGTCGTCGTACTGTTGCCGTAGAAGACTYAAGTAGAAAACCGGCGGCAAAATCAATGCCATCAAAGTTATGGTTGAGGCGCCCAATAGGTCCAGTATTTTGCCAAATCTGGGCACAGATAGGGCTGTAAACATGACGRCAGCCATTAGTACTGTCCGAGTGATCAGTCGTTTGTATGTAAAATCTTGAGTARCACAAMAAAAACAATTGAAAAAACTTTTATTAAATTATTTTGTRTGAATAATAACAATCGTAATGTCCTATCCATACGCTTRGGTATRTTCARACAGTTTTCAAGCTCCTGGGCCACCGGATTCAGTAGCATAACAATGGCCATCAATACGTGTACAGTAAAGAATAGGGTAGCCGTTTTTTCGAGTGAACCGTTGGACAGTGAGTTCAATATGTTGACATTAACATCGGTACCGTAGACGGCATAGCCGGCAACACTGATCGGTATGTAAAACAAAAATATGACAACTGAGGAAAGTATATACACAAACAAAAAACAAACATTAGACTAACTGTTCTCTAATTATCACTATTAAGGAACTCATTATTACCACAAAATGCAATGACAACAGCCTTCGGGAACTGTGTCTTGTCTTTCATGTCGGTTTGAATGCTGGGAAAAGCGGCGGCTCCTCCGTAACCAAATGTAATGATACTGAAGCCAGAGAAAAAACTTTTTAAATTAGGTCCGTCGTGTGTGACCGCATACGCCGAACCATTACCAACTGCGTCCACAATKATGTTKATCATCAGAAATAAGAGTCCCAAAACAGTGGTACCRATTGACRCRACGGCCACTGGCCAAACATCGGCCGGCGAACCGAATAGCGTAAACGGCAACAAAACGACASCTAAAATGAGTATCCAATCGCAATATGTTATATGACTTAAGCAAACTTCAGTAAGAGATCCCATTTGATCCGAACATATCAACAGAAAAACTACAGGTGTGCCGAAAAATGTAATGTCCATTACGGCCGAACACACATAACTGRTYATAGATTGGAGACACCGATAGCAATGAGGGACAGTTAGTTAACTAWTAATTTYGTAGATTTATTTAACAAGTTTCATTTACCTCATCCATTTACCATTGGCCCGATAGCCGATCAGTGGAAATGGCGATCTCTGTGGCGATCTATACTCTGGATAACGTTCCTCAAGTATATTCCAACAAYGGGMCAGACAGACACCCGAATAGCAGGCAAGCATACCGTTGCCCAATAGTATTATCATACCGTACCAACCTATTTATGATAGTAGACAAATAAAACAATACCAAAAAAGGCTTAAATCTATATTATAGACAGCCAGCAAAAAAGTATTGTTTTTATGCAGTTATTCATATATAAAATGTTAGTTTAATTACTTAATTATTAATTAGTTAGGTTARTTTGGGGTGAGTGTGAGGTTAGGAAGTGGTTGGTTGGAGCAAATAATTTTCTACTGGCTGTCTATAATATAGATTTATTCCCCWAAAAATTATTAATAACAAAAAATTAAACTAAACTAAAAAATGTTTATCTAATTAATTAATATTATTTACCTGTTTTGGCCATAGCATAKGGATAGGCTAGTATACCGCAACCGGCCAGTTCGGCTGCAATAAACACTACAGCTGTAWACAGGCTGAGTCTATGTTTGCGAGCACCGGTATTATCAACACCAGAATCAGTATCACCACTACTGGCTTTGTTGTCATTAGACATTCAAAACACACAAAACTTTTTTTTCCAGTAAATTACAAATCAAATGTTACAAAACAAAACAGTAAATAATTTCTAAAATTAACTGTTTATTCAATTAATTTAATATTTATAGTTAGTTTCAAAAAAATATATATTAATTTTTTATAGTCTCGCAAATAAGTAATTGTTAGCGTATAAAATKAATATATCTGTATAATTGAAATGTATAAATATATTATTTATTATTATTTTTTGCTAACTTAATGGTAAATTATATTTATATATTTAAAAATTTATTATTACTATTATATTTAAGTAATATAATATGTATAAACAATAATTATTATTTACATTATTTCTGATAATAATTTGTAAATAACTACAAATTTAAGTACTATAAAACAGTATTGACAGTAAATTATAATACATTTAAAAATTTTTTTTACATATAAAAATATATTGATTAAAAATATACATCTAATTATTTATAAAATGCATGACATTGTAAATAGCACGGATAGGTAAAGGCATCGGGATTGACCAACTCGTACAGTGCAAAATAGGTACTGGCTATACCGGCTACCAGTCCAATGGCAATAGGTATCAACATAATTATCTTGAGTTTTATGTCTATTTGTCTAAATTTGATTAAAAAATTATTGTAAACTAATATATGAATTGTTTGTAAATCATATGGACATACCTTTTAGGCCAAATCGGGTTGTCGTCCTGTTGTCGTAGAAGACTCAAGTARAAAACCGGCGGCAAAATCAATGCCATCAACGTTATAGTTGAGGCGCCCAACAGRTCCAATATTTTGCCGAATTTGGGTACCGATAGGGCCGTAAACATGACGGCCGCCATTAGGACTGATCGAGTGATTATTCGTTTGTATGTAAAATCTTTGGTAACAAAAAAAACTTTAATAAATTTTCTTTACTGATTATTATATCAGTTATGATGTGTCCTTACGTTTCGGTATATTCAGACAATTTTCAAACTCCTGGGCCACCGGATTCAATAGCATAACAATGGCCATCAACAGGTGTACAGTAAAGAATACGGTAGCCGTTGTTTTGATCCAACCGTTGGACAGTGAGTTYAATATGTTGGCACTGACACCGGTGCCGTATACAGTATAACCGGCAACACTGACCGGTATGTAAAACAAAAACATGACAACTATTGAAACCAAACATACAAACAAAAAAATTAGATAACTGTCCAAACAATTTTGTTTTGTTTATCTCTATTAAGGAACAAATGTTTTTTTACCACAAAATGCAATGACGACAGCCTTCGGGAACTGAGACTTGTCTTTCATGTCGGTCTGAATGCCGGGAAAAGCGGCGGCACCGCCGAAACCAAATGTAATGATACCGAAACCCAAGAAAAAACTCTTAACATTAGGAGAGTCGTGTACGACCGTCTTGGCTGTCTCATTGGCGGTGGTCGCGTCCAAACCAATGTTGACCATCAGAAATATAAGTCCCAATACAGTGGTACCGATTGCCGCAACGGCCACTGGCCAAACATCGGCCGGCGAACCGAATAGTGTAAACGGCAGCAAAGCAACACCTAATATGAGTATCCAATCGCAAAAAGTCACATGTCTTAAGTAGGTTTGTGTAAGAGATTCCATTTGTTCCGAGCATATTAACAGAAAAACTACAGGTGCACCAAAAAACGTAATGTCCATTACAGCTGAACACACGTAACTGGATATATAGATTGCGAACCGATAGRCAATTAGGAACAGTTAGTTAACTAATAATTTGTTTCAGATCTTTTTTTAACAAGTTTATAYATACCTCATCCATTTACCATTGGCCCGGTAGCCGATCAGCGGAAATGGATTTCTCTGTGGCGATCTATACTCCGGGTAACGTTCCTCCAGTATATTCCAACATTGGGCCAAACATACACCGGATAGACAGGCAAACATACCGTTGCACARTARTATAATCATACCGTACCAACCTATTTATGATTGAAAAATAAAATTATTAATTAAAAAAATAAATAGTAGGAAAAATTKTTTATTCTTTAAAKTAATAAATATTTTTAATTTATTTACCAGTGTTGGACATGCCATTCGGGTAGGCCAGTATACCGCTTCCGGCCAATTCACCAGCAATAAAAACTACAGCTGTAAACAGRCTGAGTCCATGTTTGCGAGCACCGGTATTATTATWATCAGCATCAGTATCATTATCACTGGCTATTGTTATTTTGATATTTTTGTTGTCTTTGTTAATAACAAACTTTTTTATTGTCATTTTTGTTTTATTAACTAATTAGTAAATTATATGATAATAACTATAAAGTTTATAAAAATATGCAGTTTATTTACGTAAATAAAAACAAAATTTAAATAAATTTTTCTAAATTATTTMATTAGATATCAAACTTGTTTATTAAAATAAGAGATCCAAAACAAAACTTTTTCGGTAAATTTCAAACAATACATATTTATTTCAAATAAATCGTTGATTTAATTTAATTTAATAATTAATTTTTAAATATTTTAATTTTTATAAAATCTCGCAATTTTTTGCGTGTAATATATATATATATCATCTATAGTATAGATTCTATACTAGTATATGAATTTTCAAATTAGTTGTATAATTTATTTTTTTTGSAAACTTAATAGAAAATTTTATGCAAGTAATTGATATTTCTAAATAATTTAATGACAATWTTAATTATTTAATAATTGTATATCATTTTATACTATTTATATAAAATAAATAATATACTCTATATCACTGTCATATATTATTGTGCCTATAGTATAAAATAATATTTATTAATAATTACATTTATTATCAATAGATGATTAAATGTGCCTAAAAATATATATATTATTTTATAGAAATAGATATATATGTAATATAGTRTATAGTACTTACTTGATATAATTAATAATATAAAATTACTTAACATCACAATGTACTGTATAATTGCTAGTTTATCACCAATTGGTGACAATAGTTCAAAAACTTTATATAAACTACAGTACATATATAATAATATATTGTATAAATGAGTTATAKATTTTGCACTTAATAAACCATTTAGACATATATAATTATATTTTAAAGTTTAATTAATTTTTTTTAAAATTAATATGAGTTCTTTAAATAAAAATCTCTCCAATTTTCCCGGAAAATAGGGAAAATATTTTTGTTATCCCTCCATTGATCGTTAGAAAGGGGAAAATATATTTTACATATTATTACAATAAATAGTATTAAAACTTAAATATTCCCTATGAATTTCCAGGAAACAGGGAAGATAAGGAACTTTTGGTATAATAATACAAAGTAGGGAATCTTGTCTAACCCTAAATATATGTRATGTTTAKTATATRTATAGTAAAATCGCAATAATATAGTWTTATTTATTATAAAATATATTGATATATAAGTTTAAAATGAATGCTAATAGTACAGTATGTATTAGCCTAAAACTTAATGATAAATTATTATATTAATATATAGTTTGTTTTATTTAATAACATAATAATAGAGAAAATAAATATATATAAATTTATTTATTTATTATGTAATATTTAAAAATAAGTTATTTAATATTTATAATTTTTCAAAATTTATATAAAATAATCTACAGGTATTATTTCATATGTTATACTCATGCAAAAAATAACATTTATTATCAAAAAAAAAATTGCACACAATTACATTAAGTGTTATCAATATCCTTTAAGTATATAACAAATTGTCACAAATTTAAGATTTATTATTTAATATACTGTATAATRAAAAACATTATCAATACTTAARTATAAGTACTTAATAGTACAAAATGTATGATTAATTTTTTTATTTRGGCACAAAATATCATTACATAATAACATAAAATACTTGAATTTTTKTAATTATACTTTTTATTATTAATCTATAAATTATATATTAACATCTTTGCTAATTAACTTAAATTAAWTTTTTTTCAAATTCGGGCAAATGGTCATCCAATAGGTTTGACCTGTTTTATGCTAACTGTCCATTTGGTTATCACTAAAATTTTCATACAAAACTTAAAAAACAATAATTATAGCAATAATTTTTTATTTTAGTGTAAATCACATATAATTTTTTTAAATGATAAAATAGTTACAAAACAATTATTATCATACAATCCGATTGTATAAAGAAATAATTGTGATTTTTTTTATATCAATTCAAAATAAATAAATATTTTTTTTATTTATGGATAACTAATGTATGTTTTTCAGTAAATTAGTATTCATTTATTTTATTTTAAATCATTTGTTTTATTGTTTATACAGATGTTTTTACATAATGTAATTAAAATATTAGATTAATAAAAAATAGAGGCTTTATTTATAAAAAAAAAAACTACAATAACTTTCATAACAATCAAAAAATCAATTGCAATCAATGGTAGTCGAGATATATTGATTTTACTGAGTTAATGGTTTTTTATGTTTATTTTTCATATGATGTGCAACACCCGAGTGATGTGCAGCCCTGTAGTCACATCCGGGCCAACTGCACGCATAGGGCTTAACATTTGTATGGATATTCATATGTTGTTTGAGTTCCTCTTTTCGGATAAACTTTCGCTCGCATTGTGGCCAATGACACTCAAATGGTCGGACACCCAAATGACTTGAYCTGTGCTCTTGCATTCGTACCTTAACATTGACCACATAGTCACAGCCGGGCCATTGACACCGAAACGTTTCGGGTAGTATATCGTGATCGGATTGCCGATGTTTTCTAATCTGGCGATAATTGTARAACATTTCGGTACATCCCTGAACTGTACACTTGATTGTCGGCTCACTCGTGTGTATGGTAGCCAAGTGTGTCTTCATCGATGATTTGTTCATGAATTTACTTTTGCAGCCATCAATGTCACAGCTAAACAGTTCATCTTTGTGAGACAATCGATGCAATTGGTAACTGTTTTCAGTGTCAAACAATTGCAAGCATCCATCGTAGAAACATTTAAATTTTCTGAGAAGTAGATGTCGTCGGCGTATATGTCTAGTATAAGATGAAGTGGTAGTAAATGTTTTATTACAATCAATGTAAGTACATTGAAATGGCTGTGAATTGAAAATGGCCGGTCTGTGCACTAATTGGTGATTATGTAAACTTTTCAACTGTTTAAATGTTTTGCCACAATTGTCATAATCACATTTCAATGGTTTATGATTTTTATGATCCACTTGTTTATGTCGAACAATTGATTTGTATGTCTTAAATGATTTGATACAACCATCGATACGACATAAAAACTCGCCGTCGTCTGAATGATCTTCCGTTGTTGTCGTCATAATTGAATTATTAGCCGTTAGTTTCGATTTGATTATGGATTTCAAATCCGATACACAAAATGATGAAAGTGTTTGGTTTGATCCGTGTTTGRCTTTTTCGTGAAAATCTCTGAAAGCAGTAGTTTTAAACTGTTTATCGCAATTGTCGTAACGACATCTGGATGTCTGAGTGATGTTCGAGTCCTTCTTCTTGTGGTACGACTTTTCGTGATAATATCTACCACTTCCTCCGGCAAACATTTTGTAACAGCCATCGTAACGACACTTGAGTTTATTAATCTTTTTGGTTWTATCTTCGACTAAATCAGATGAACTCAATGTTTCTGTTGTCGTCTTTGCGTCCTTCTTCTTGCAATATAACTTCTTGTGGTACGACTTCTCGTGATAACATCTACCATTTTTTCCGGCAAATGTTTTATTGCAACCATCGTAACGACACTTTAGATTTTGTTCAATAATCCTTTTGGTCTTATTTTCGACAACRAAAAAAAATCAGATGAAATCAATGATTGATTATTTTGTGACAAAATTATTTTACCGTTAGTTTTGTTTTGATTATGGATTTCAAATCCGATACACGAATTGGTGACAGTGTTTCATGTGATCGKTGTTTGGCTTTTTCGTGATAGTCTCTGATAGCAGTAGTTTTAAACTGTTTGTCGCAATTGTCGTAACGACAACTCAATGTTTGTGTTGTTGTCTTTGTGTTCTTCTTCTCCTTCTTCTTGCAATACAACTTCTTGTGGTACGACTTCTCGTGATAACATCTACCACTTATTCCGGCAAACGTTTTATTACAGCCATCGTAACGACATTTAATTTTTTGTACGACAATCCTTTTGGTCTTATTTTCAATCAAATCAGATGAACTCAATGACCGATWATTTTGTCCATCATTTTCATCGATAATGTCTTGACTTTTACTATTGTCGACAACATGTATGTCTTCTTCATACTCACTATCCATACATTGGATCCCATTATTAATTACATCAATTGTGTCACATCTTAAAAGTTTGCAATTATTTTCAGCAAATGTTTTATCGTATGTTTGTCTGGAAATCAGATTCAATTGATGTCTCAATTGGTTGAACTTGTCTTCAGTGTTCAGTTGTGTCTCAAACTTCTTGTAAATCAAATTCAATTCAATTTTCAATTCATTTAAAATATTCAAACATTTAGTGGCAAACAATAACTCTTTGAGTAGTCGTTTGTTTTCAGCCATTAATTGATCCAAAATGTCATCAATTGTCACAACCATTGATGTCATCATTCATTCAATACATTCATTCAATAAATTGTTTTAATTTGTAATACAATTGACATTCAATTGACTAATATTTTGTTTGTTTGTAAACATTGACTTCAATTGTAGGGAACATTAAATAATATACAAAAAAAACTCAAATACTGACATTTACTTTAAATATAAAAAATATTTAATAATATTTAAAAATATTATTTAATGTTTTTTTTTAAATAATTATTAATTAAGATAATATACAAAATAAATTTTATACATAAAAAAATCATTATTATTATTAATAAATTAATTAATATAATTTATAAGAACTTAATGATTGATAAAATTACTGTAATAATAGCAAAAACAACAACAAAATAAATAAATAAATTTAAAAACAAATTATTTTATTAACATTTTATACATTATTATTATAATAAATATTATTAACAACAATAACAACAACAAAAAGATCTCAATAAACAAAAAATGTTATGATTTTATAACTTTATAAATCCCACAATTTTTTTTAAAACCATTATATTATAGTTATCATAGCATTGATTGATTGATTCAATGATTTTTCCATATTGTTTGGTGAACTTGTTTCATATGTTTGTTAATGTTTGAATGGCCAGCACTACGGTAGTCACAACCGGGCCAACGACACAAATGCGGTTTAACATTGTTATGGATATTCATGTGTTCAGTTAATTTAGTTTTATCGGCAAATCGTTTGCCACATTGTGGCCAAATACACGGGTATTTTTTCGTACCCGTATGGACACTCTTGTGCCGATACAATGTCGGTCCATAGTAGTCACAACCGGGCCAATCGCATCGATGATAGATTCTTTTACGCGGTGTCTTCCTATAAGGTATCTTATGATAACTATATTTATGTTTTTGCAGTTCGCAGTCCGAATGAAACAGTTGTCCACAACCGGCTACCGAACATTTGATTGTCGGCTCCGATAAGTGTTCGGCAAAATGTCGTTTCATTTGCGATCGAGTGTTAAACATACGCGTACAGCCATCGGCCATACATTGGACAGTTGGTTCCGAGTGAATCAATTTGTGTCGGTTGAGTACATGATTTTCTTTGAATTTCTTGTGACAGCCAATGATTGGACAAACAAACGGTCGATCTTCAGAGTGTACGGTCAGATGTTCGGAAAACTGTTTGTATGTTATGAACCGAAAGTTGCAACCGATGTAATCGCATTGGTAGTGATCGTTGATGGGTTCGGTGTGACAAGTGATCTGATGATAGGATAACTTGTGTTTCAATGGATACTTTTTACCGCAATCCGGATATTGACAACAATAGACTGTATCGCTGGTAATCAACCTCTGGTTACATAACTTTCGGTGTCTCAGGAAGTAGTGTTTGCCTCTTAGATATCGTCCACAAAGTGGACAAATGTATTTGTCTGTTGACGGGTCATAGCATTCATCCATTGGTTTTATATACTCTTCTTCGGCAAATTGATCCATAAGTTTCACTTTGTTGTTGTTTTTGTTCTTAACTTTGGTTTGTTTTCTTAATAAAACCGCCGATCTTTTCGATCGGCGATTAGTTTTATTATTGTATTTACGGCTATCGATGACAGAAACAACAGATGCATTGTCTTTAAACTTATTATTCATCACTTGTTCCGATTGATACACTTCTTGTCCGATTGTTTTATAAATATCTGTCTCATCTGATCCTACTTTACCGATACTATCTGTAGATCTAACCGATGAACGTCTATTGCAAACAATCTTTCTGTCGACGACATGACTGTCTTCCTCTTCATACTCATTATCTCTCAATTGGATCCTATTATCTATCACTTCTTGTAATAGTTTAAACTCATGTTTGTCTTCTTCATCGACAAGTTCTTCATATTTATCAAACAATTTCGTCAAAAATATCTTCAATTTGTTGGCAAACAATAACTCATTGACGAGTCGTTTGTTTTCACTCCACAATTGATCCAAAATGTCATCAATTGTCACAACCATTGATGTCATCATTCATTCAATAAATTGTTTTAATTTGTAATACAATTGCTATTCAATTGACTAATAATTTGTTTGTCATTTAACTAACACTTCAATCAATCAAATGTTATGTTTGTTTGTATGTAAACATTGAGAGTTCAATTGTGGGGAATGTTATGTCATTTATAATGTAATGTATTTTAAATTTACAATTTGGCGGAAAAAATATTATTGCCTCATATATTATACATTGAAAATATTATTTAATATAATTTATTATTTAATAAAATAAAACATTTTACTATTATAGTCATTATTTTATTTCATTAGTAATTATCAACTTTATTTGTGGTTAAAAAATAACTAAACCTATAAATAATAATAATTAAATATATCATAACATTTTATTGTAAAACTTTAAAATTTTATTTCTTCTAATTATTTTTCGCATTTATTATAAAATAATAAATAAATAAATATTATAAAATAATATATTTCCATACAAAAACAAATATAAAAAAGTTATAATTTTAATATAATAAAATTAATTGAGTAAAAATTATATTGTAAACTTAATTATGAATATCAAGCTAAAATATTAAATTCAAATAATTTATTTAACTTTAAATTTATGATAATCATGATTTTGTCGATGATTTTGTTTTGTGCACTTGTCTCATATGTATCCAAATATTTGTATTGTTAGCGCACCGGTAGTCACAACCGGGCCAACGACACGCATACGGCTTAACATTGTTATGTATATTCATATGATCGTTAAGTTTTCCCAAATCCCTAAACCGTTTGTCACATTGTGGCCAAACACACGGATACCGTTTCTCTCCCGTATGAACTTCCATATGTCTGGCCACTCGTTTACCGAAATATTCACAACCGGGCCATTCGCACCGTTTCATCGGCCATTTCCTTTTATACGATTTATTATGAATTAACTTTAGATGTTTTTTACGCTCTTTATCGGTAAAAAACTTATCCGGACATCCATTTACCGAACAGACGAGCATCGGTTCATTGCTGTGTTCAATCAAATGTCTCGTTAAAGCAGTTTTATGTCTGAACTTTCGTTGACATCCATCGACATCACATCTGAATACAACATTTTGATGAATAAGTGAATGTTTTTGTAAACTATTCGATGTTTTGAATGCTTTAAAACATCCACTGATGGAACAGATAAATGTCTTAATGTCTGAATGTTTACCATTAAGATGTTTCTTCATTTGATAGTCTCTTCTACACTTATACTGGCAGTCAGTGTACTGGCATTTCATCCACTTTATTGTGTGTCTCTCGTGAGTCAAAATTTTATGATATGATAGACCACTTCTGTTGCGAAAGTTTTTGTCGCAGCCATCGTAACGACACTTATATTTTTCATTATTATCTAAAATCAATTTCTTCTTTTGAATCTTGGGAACCGTTGGTTTACATATCTTTCGATGTGCTAAAAATCTCTTCAGATTTTTGTAAGATTTGTTACAATTATTTAGTCGACAAATATATGAATTGGTTGTCGAGTCAAAGCAATCGCTTTTAGTTAAAATCTTTTTATTTTTAATACCGTCGACAACAACTGTGCGGTCATCTCTAACTGATCCCACTTTACCGATAGTCTGTATCGATCTAATGGTTAAACTATTTTCATTGTTATTATTATTATCCATAATAATATTGTCTCCATTATTCTCCTTACACTTCAATTGTAATCCATTATTGACCACTAAATTTGGTAATTCTTTCGGCGCTAAATCAGATGGCAATAAACTATCATTTGTTTCAGACATTTGTCGACAATAGGTCTGAACCACATTATTATTATTATTATTAGTAGTAGTAGTATTGTTAGACAAACTAATTAATGATAACTTAGTTGTAGTTAATTGTGTTGAAGATTTGGCTTTAAAATCAGACACTTTGTGTCCGACATTATTGGGACGTATTATCAAAAAACGACGTTTAATTTGAATCCGATTGTCGGTCACTGATTGCTGTGGTTTCATCGGCAGTAAAAGTTGACCACTTTGTTGTTGACTACCATTACTACTACTACTACTACTACTACTACTTGTGATCAGTGTATCAGTTGATGTGTTGACAACAGTAACATCTTTGTGGTTATCAATGACTTGATTATTGTCCACAACTTCTTGTATATCTTCTGAATCAGATTTATCCACAACTTTTGTATCATTTGTATCGCTTATATCACATGTTTTCCGCTTAGATTCTGCAAAGTCTTTATCATGTCTTTGATCGCAAATATAATTCAATTGATGTCTCAATTGGTTGAACTTGTCTTCAGTGTTCAGTTGTGTCTCAAACTTCTTGTAAATTAAATTCAATTCTGATTTCAATTCATCCAAAATATTCAGACATTTGTTGGCAAACACTAACTCTTTGAGTAGTCGTGTGTTTTCACTCCACAATTGATCCAAAATGTCGTCAATTGTCACAACCATTGTTGTTATCATTCAATACATTCATTCAATTATTTTTTAAATTTATAATATAATTGACATTCAATTCACTAATAATTTTAATAATAATAAACACTTGAATTCATGTTATGTTTGTTTGTATGTATAAACACATTGAGAGTTCAATTGGTGGGGAATGTTATCTCATTTATAATGTAATGTATTTTAAAAATTTTCGTCAAAAATTTATTTTATATAATTTATAATTATAATTTAAACAAATATTACTGTATATACAGTATTACTGCAATATATTGTATATAATAAACAACAATATTATTAACATTTATATCATTTATTATTTAAAATTAAAACATTTTTAATGTATTGTAATAATTATTTTACAACATTAATATTATTGGCTGATTCCAGAAAAATCAACTATAATTTATTAATTTATATAATGTATCTATAAATATATATTTTACATATAATTTAATATATTAGTTACAATATTTAATTGCAATTTTAAAAAATTCAAATAATCTATTTATTATAATAACTTAATATATAAATTCATGAGAATCATTGTACCGATGATTGTGTTTTGTGCACTTGTTTAATATGTTTGCTAATATTTGAATGATGAGCGCACCGGTAGTCACAACCGGGCCAACGACACGCATACGGTTTAACATTGTTATGTATATTCATATGATTGTTAAGTTTACCCGAATCCCTAAACCGTTTGCCACATTGTGGCCAAACACACGGATATGGTTTCTCTCCCGTATGAATCTGCATATGACTGGCCAATATTTTACCGAAATATTCACAGCCGGGCCAATCGCATCGTTTCATTTGCTTAATAAATGCTATATTATGAATCAACTTTAGATGCTTTTTACGCTCATTAATGGTAAAAAATTTTTCCAGACATCCCTTTACCCGACATACGAGTGTCGGTTCACTGCTGTGTTCGACCATATGTTTTGTTAAATCAGTTTTATGTCTGAACTTTCGTTGACAGCCATCGACTTCACATCTGATTACAATATTTTGATGAATAAGCGAATGTTTTTGTAAATATTGTAATCTTTTGTATGCTTTAGTACATCCACTGTAGGAACAGACAAATGTCTTAACGTCCGAATGTTTGCCATTGAGATGTTGTTTCATTTGAAATTCGCTAAAACATTGAAACTGACAGTCAGTGTACTGACAATACAACCACTTTGTTGTATCCCTTTCGTGAGTTCTTCTCTCGTGGTCTCTCAGAGTGCCTTTCAGTGAATATTTCTTATCGCAGCCATCGTAACGACATTTATATTTTCCACTATTTTTATCGAAAATCATTTTCATCTTTTTAACGGTTCCGGGTTTACATGTCTTTTGGTGCGACAAAAATGTCTTCTTATTTTTRWAAGATTTGTTACAATTATTTAGTCGACAAATATATGWATTGGTTGTCGAGTCAAAGAATCCATTACTTATAATAACTTTGCGGTTATTTCGAGCTGATCTCACTTTATTGTTAGTCTGTTTAGTTAAACGTTTTTCATTGATTTTATTATTATTCACGACACAAGTCTCCTTATTGTCCATATTTTTACACTTCTTTGTCAGCAAATCAGCCTTTTGTTGATTAATACAATTTTCTTGAAATACTAATAGTTTTTTATGACTGTTAAACATGTGATTTGTTAAAGCATTTCGTGTCAGAAATTTGTTGTCACAGTCCAGACAYTTGTATTCAATAATATTATCTTTTTTATTACAAATCAATGAAAGATTAATTGTCTTATTGTTTGATTGAAGTCTCAAAATATTATTATCTCTATYTTCTCTTTCATTCAATTGTTCTCCTAATATGTGGTCATCTTTGGTCTCATTTTCTATAATTTCTGTATTATTTGATTGATTTATTTGAATTACATTTTCATTTTCTTCACGTCTGATATTATCATTTAATTGGATCCTATTATCCATCACTTGATTTGTTTTGTTTCGTCTATTTTCTTCATTGATATCTTCTTCCAAATCAATGTCAAAATCTTGTGTATAATTCATATTATCACTACTTATGTCATTCATTGTTGTCTTTGATTTAAATCTTTGTTCATTATCTTCATCTAAGTTGACATCATTTAAATGCAATCCTTTATCTCGTCTTTGATCGCAAATATAATTCAATTGATGTCTTAATTGGTTGAACTTGTCTTCAGTGTTCAGTTGTGTCTCAAACTTCTTGTAAATCAAATTCAATTCTGATTTCAATTCATCCAAAATATTCATCCATTTGTTTGCAAACAATAACTCTTTGAGAAGTCGTTTGTTTTCACTCCACAATTGATCCAAAATGTCATCAATTGTCACAACCATTGATGTCATCATTCAATACATTCATTCAATAAATTGTTTTAATTTGTAATACAATTGCTATTCAATTGACTAATAATTTGTTTGTCATTTAACTAACACTTCAATCAATCAAATGTTATGTTTGTTTGTATGTAAACATTGAGAGTTCAATTGTGGGGAATGTTATGTCATTTATAATGTAATGTATTTTAAATTTACAATTTGGCGGCAAAAATATCATTGCCTCATAAAATAGTATTTAAACAGTACATTATCATTACCGTAATATTTATTATTTTATTATCAATTTACTAATTAGCATTTTATGTAATTAACATAATTTATTTGTGATCTATTATATTATATTACAGTATAAATATAAAAAACATTATTATAAACTTTAATTAGATTTTATTTTAACTTATAAAATATTATTATTAGTCAACATATAAATGCTATTATTGAACATAAATGTAGAAATTTTTATTTAAAAAAATTGTTGTCATATAGTTATAAAAAAAAAAATTTGCACTAAATTAAGGTTAAAAAATTGCWACTAAATTATCTAATTTAAAAAAAATAATTATATATACAGTATATTATTAGTAAACTGATAGTATAGTTTAGCAATCAATTGTTGCTCTTTTGGTGCACTTGTTTAATATGTTTGTTAATATTTGAATGATCAGCGCTCCGGTAGTCACAACCGGGCCAACGACACGCATACGGCTTAACATTATTATGTATATTCATATGATCGTTGAGTTTAGTCGAATGTCTAAACCGTTTGCCACATTGTGGCCAAACACACGCATACGGTTTCTCTCCCGTATGAACCTGCATATGACTGGACATTACAGTACCAAAATATTCACAGCCGGGCCAATTGCACCGTTTCATTGGCCTAAACCTTACTTTATTATGGTTTAACTTATGATGCTTTTGTCTCTCTTTATCGGTAATAAATTTTTCCAGACATCCCTTTACCCGACATACGAGTGTCGGTTCACAGCCGTGTTGTTCGTCCATATCTCTCATCAAAGAATATTTATTTCTGTAATTTCGTTGACAACCATTATATTTGATTACAATATTTTGATGACTAAGTGAATGTTTTTTTAAATTTTGTAATGTTTTGAATGCTTTAGTACATCCACTGTWGGAACAGACAAATGACTTAACTTCAGAATGTTTGCCATTGAGATGTACTTTCATTTGGTGATCGCTAAGACATTGAAACTGACAGTCAGTGTACTGACAATACAACCACTTTGTTGTATCMCTTTCGTGATATATCCTTTCGTGGATTCGCAGACCACTTCTCCAATRAAATTTCTTATCGCAGCCATCGTAACGACACTTAAATTTTCCACTATTTTTATCAAAAATCAGTTTCTTTTTTTGAATCTTTTCAATGGGTTTACATATCTTTTGGTGCGACAAAAATATCTTCAAATTTTTKATAGATTTGYTACAATTATTTTGCCGACAAATATATGAATTGGTTGTCGAGTCAAAGCAATCWTTACTTGTAATCACTTTATTGTTTATACACTTATCATCAATTGTGAGGTCATCGCGACTAACTGATGGCTGCGGTTTCATCGGAGGTAAGAGTTTAACACTTTGTTGGTCAACTACTACTAATACTATCAGTGATCAGTGTATCAGTTGATGTGTGGAAACAGTAACATCTTTGTAGTTATGAATGTCTTGATTATTGTCAACAACTTCTTGTATATCTTCTAAATCAGACTTATCTACAATTAGTGTATCATTTATATAATTTTTTGCTTCATTTGCACAGCAAAAAATCGAAAATTTTAGGATTCATAAAACTGAATAAAAAAATAATTTTATGTATAAAAAGTGATTTTCATTTAACTGAATATTTAAAAATGTTGTTTTACATAAAACTGCACAAAAAATAAACACTTTAATGCATAATGAGCTCAATTTTATGTATTACTATGTAAATTCATAAATCTGCAGTTTTTAAAAATTTTTGTGATGTTCAAAATAACGTGACAATAAATGCCAGCATTTATTGTCACGTTATTTTGTGAACAGTATTTTTTTATTTATTTCGTCATTTGCAGCCATTTGTATTAAATGTAATTATTTCATACCATATGCCATATACTCAATACAATGGCTTATCATTTTGATGATATAATTGATATATCTTCTGATCAATCTTCAGATGAATCATCAGATGATTGTTTTTTTTTGTTGATTACGAAGAAAACAATATCGACATAGAAAGTCGACCCGAAATTGAAACAAACAATGAAAAGTCAATTGATAACAAAAATGAATCAAATGATATGCCAATGGTTTGGTCTAAATGATAATTGTTGGGAGTATTTGAGAAAAATGCATTGACAGTGAACGGCATTGATTTTCCTTTATATGATAAGCAACCGATTCATAGATATCTCAAATCACATCCTATTTCATATACTTATGAAAGGTAATATTATTAAAATGCAAGCATTTTAATTTAATTATTTTTTGTTTTAAGGTTAACGCAATGTTTAAACATCGCTTTGGAATGTCTTTAAAAACATTGCACATAATATATGAAAATCGGCTAAAATTATCTCAAAATAGACAAAACATCTCTTTTAAATAATAGTAAATTAATGTATTATTTTATAAATGTTTGCATTTATTTTAACTTTTTATAATTTATTACAGATTTAAGCAAAATGATGACATTTATCGCAAACTTTGACGGCTAAAAACGGAACCGAAGAGAGTTTATTGAAAGAATAAATGAAGTCCAAAACAGGTTTAGTGATTACAAACGGTGATTGCTGTAAAACTGTATTATAATGAATATAACTTTTTATTTTATGTATTTATATGTATTTAAATAATGTATTTATATGAAAAAATACTGTATAATAATTAATATAATTATAAATTTTGGGTATTTTTATAATTTTTTAAATGTATAAAAATAAATAAAAAAGTGCATTAAAATAAATTTTATTATTAAATTTTTACATAAAAATACTTTTTTTTATTTATAAATATGAATAAATAAATACATTATTATACATAAATTTATTATAGGCTATGCATTAATATGTAATTTTGGTTTTAATTTTGTGCAGATATCTGCACTTTTTTATGTAGATATATGAAAAGTGTTTTACGCAAGTGTGTAGATCTATGCATTTGTTTATTAACAAAGTGTATGACATAAAAGTGTAGATATATGCATACATTTTATTATTAAAAAAGTGCAGATAAAAAGTGTAGATATCTGTATACAATTTTATAAAAAAATGTATAAGGATGTCTCAAATGGCATAAAACTGAATAAACGCATCATTTTTTTCTTGCTGTGTGTATCGTTTATATAACATGTTTTCCGATTAGTTTCTGCAAAGTCTTTATCTCGTCTTTGATCGCAAATATAATTCAATTGATGTCTCAAATGATTGAACTTGTATTCAGTGTTCAGTTGTGTCTCAAACTTCTTGTAAATTAAATTCAATTCTGATTTCAATTTATCCAAAATATTTAGACATTTATTAGCAAACAATAACTCTTTGAGAAGTCGTTTGTTTTCACTCCACAATTGATCCAAAATGTCATCAATTGTCACAACCATTGATTCATTCAATGTATTCATTTCATCAATGATTGTTCACATCAATTGAATACTAAAAATCAATTCAAATATTTATATTAATATTCATAATAAACACTTCAATCATATGTTTTGTTTGTTTGTAAACATTGACTTCGAGGGACTGTCAATGCATTGAAAATAATATTAATAATTCAAAAATACAGATATTATAATTACCTTTAAAACTGTAGTTGAATTGAGTGCTGGGTATGGGCTCTACATAACTGGCCAAATCTGGACGATGCTTGAGATATGTCAATACATCATCCGATACATTGATTGTGAACCTATTGATAGTCAACGGATCCTTAGGTATGGGTTCGCCGGCTATTCATTAAAATAAAAAATTCAATTTCTTATAATATATATATATATAGTCTTAATATTAAATCGATACAAACCTTACAATTGTTATTACCATAGCTCCGGTATATCTAATACTTGAGGATCGGGTGTTAGCAATATCTGGTAAACTACAGCACCGACAGCAACAAGTATTATTCAGTACAAAAAACTTTTTCAAAATACCAATTTCTAATAAAATAATTAATTAAGAAAATATATATTAATTTTTTTCAATAATATTATATTATCTGTGTAATTATTTTTTTTAAAATTTTATACTTAATACTTAAAACACAGTACTTTTATTTATACATTTTACAACTAAAATATATACAGTATATACCAGTGATTAACATTAAGTGGTATCATGATAACTTTTTTGATAAATGTAATAACGTTATTAATGTTCAAAATTATAATAAATAAAATTATTCATAAATATTAACCATAGATATCATGGTACTTATTAGAGACTGAAAACTGACCTGATTTTTCAGGTCAGGTCAGGTCAGGTAAAAGTTAGGGCTCAGGTCAGGTCAGGTACGGGTCCGAACACCAAAATTTTTTGGTCAGGTCAGGTCAGGTCCGAAAATTTTTTATTCATTATTTAAACGACAATTATTACAAAATATGACAATCAAACACAAAATTTATTAAATTATTATTTATAAAATATTTGTATAAATTAAACATAAAATATTACAAAAGATGATGGTTTTGATCTAATAAATAATAACATATTAACTTTATTAGAATCTAAGTTAGATCTACGATCAGTTATCGTTAATCCCGAGTAATTAAAGTTAATTTAGAGAAATTTGTTGCGGGTATAGAATAAATAAAATTGTTTTTTGATAAAATTATTTTCGGACAGACATAGTCAGGTCAGGTCAGGTCAGGTAAATTTGTACCCTATGTTAGGTCAGGTCCGAGTCCGAGATTTTAGGTATCAGATCAGGTACGGGTCAGGTACGGGTCCGAAACTTTTCGCTCTCTAGTACTTATCATAAATTATAATAATAATTAAAAAATTCCTATATATAATGTTAATCACTGGTATATACAGTATATAATATATATAGTATATATTATATACTATATATATATTATATACTATATATCAATACCACGAATGCACTTAAAATATTATTGATGAGTGCTTTTGTGTCAGTTAGCTAAGTGACCTTAAAAGTCGGTTTATTCRCTATACTGTATAGARAGAGAAGGAATGGTATGAAATAAGTTGAATAGCTGTTCGGATAATACAAATAATTACTATTCATTTGATTTATTATTATTTTTTTTKTTKTTGAATAGTATTGGTATAAACTAGTATAAAGTATTTATTGGAATATTCAGATATATATATATAGATATGTATATATATTATATTAGAAAATAATATTTTTTGACTAATCATTAAATAGTTATCAAATGATAATACAATAGATCAAACTTATAGGTAAACTTTTATTTTAAAATATGTTTGATTAAACCAATAACCAAACAAACAAACAAATTATATAATTTAAGATTTAAATGATCGGTAAAAATACTGTACATAATAATAATTTTATTACTAAAATTGAAMCAATTTTTTTAATGTCCCCAATATTGATGACACTAACGGTGCCATAGATTTTGAGGATTGTTAGTTAGTGTTAAGTGTTATTCAAGTAATAAATTAATAATTTWAAAAATTTAATTTTTTTTTTGGTTATTACATCAACACATACAGTATAGTAATAATTGCCCGAAATTTACACCTAATTTAAATATGATAATCATATTTACTTCTGTAAAAAACCATAACAAACCATTACTAAACTTATATATTTAGATATATTTAGTAATTTATTATTAGTTAATAAATATAAAGGATAAAAAGTTTTATTTTATTTTTGAATTTTAAACATTTTGAATTTGTTTGGTCTCTAAATACAAAAAATTATTTTTTCAATACTTTCGATACAAATGTTATGATATCGTCGGCCATCAGTTTTGACTCTTCAAATGCAGCGAAATGTCCGCCTCTGGGCATTGATGTGTATTGTATTAGATTTTCGTACAGATGTTTGGTCAGCGAATATGGAGATCGGGCCAACTCATGGGGAAAGTCAAACACAGCTGACGGCACAYTGGCTTTGATGCGAAAACTTTGTTTTGTATACAACAACAAAAAAAGTTATAAATAATTCRTTAAAAAACTTTTTAAATAATAATATTTAGTTTCAGTTAACACTAACTTTTGGATATCGAAATCAGTCATCAATAGCGGAAAGTTTTCCTTATAGTATCGCATACTTGAGGCCACATTATTGGACGTCCAGTATATCATAATATTGGTCAACAACTCGTCTAATGTAAACTTTTCGGTCAGTCCACCGTCAGGTTTGTCCAAAAAAGCTGGATTAGTCCAAACGGAAAATTTTTCCAATATATAAGCGGCTAAACCGACAGGACTGTCCATCAGGGCTGCACCTACTGTGTCGGGACGGGTGGACTGAATGTGCATATATCCTGATTCTCGGATCAAAAATTTGATTYTCTCCCAAAACGGATACATCTTTTTGTAGTCGGCCTCCGGATTATCGAAAACCAGTTGTGGAAAATATGCGCCGATTATTGCTTTTATTAGTGACAGTCCTTTATTAGACGATTGCGCCATTATGTGTAATCCACGAATACTTTATAATTTTTAAAGTAAAAATAAAGYAAATGATTATAAAATAC